TTCCAAACCATTGAATTCAGTTTCAAACCATTGAATTCAGTTTCAAATCATTAAATTCAAATTCAGTTCTGGTGGCTCAAGTTTCTCCTACAGTTAGCTGTCATGAAGAGGTGTGGGCTTCACTCTGTCTGTGTCTTGAGGTCCCACCCCCAAGAGACACGTGCATTGGTCAGCTGTGTGAGCCCTGAGTGTGTCAAAGTTAAATGTTTTAAAGGAAGCTCATCAGTCGTCACCCCCCCCCCCCCCCCCCCCCAAAATTAGCCGCGGCATTATATGAGCCGAGAGGCTTAAAGTCTGTGGAAAAAAGGTAGCATCTTATTCACCAGCAATTATGGTAAATCTGTGTTTGACTAAATAAATAATTCAGAATCTTCATGTCCACAATGTGTCTAAAACAGAAAAAAACTACTGGAGATGTGCTACTTCAACTGAAAGTATTTTCTCTCTTTTTTTTTTAGAGCATCCACAGAATTACACCTGGAAAGAAGAGGAGGTTCTCATTGAGTCGCAGTTCAAGAACCAGGAGAGGAACTCTGGTTTGGACCAGGAGGATCCACAACCTCTAGCAGGAGATTGGCAGCCTCAAAAAAGTGAAGACCAGGAGGAACCACATGTACAGATTAAAGAGGAACAGGAGGAACCAAAATGTCCACAGATTAAAGAGGAATTGGAGGAACCAGAACTTCCACAGATGAAAGAGGAACAGGAGGAACTCTGTATCACTCAAGATGAGGATCATCAAGATTTGAAGCTGGAGACCGAGACCGTCATGGTGACAGTTGACTATGAGGAAAGAGTCCACTGGGAACCAGAACCAAAGTGGGACCAGTTCCCTTCACAGAACTTTCCTCATACTGAGAAACAAGACCAGAAAGATGCCGAAACATCTGGAGACGGAAAACTGAACCCCAAGAACCGACCTGACAGAAGCCAAAGTGTGAAAAACTTTTCAGGAAATCTGTTTGATCCTGAGGCTGAAGGGAAACCTGTAAAATGTGATGTTTGTGGAAAAGGCTTTAGGGATAATCATCACATGAAGGAGCATAGAAGAATCCACATTGGTGAGAAGCCCTTTACATGTCAAACATGTGGGAAAAGCTTCTCTTTAAAAAGTCGTTTAACGATTCATACAAGGACCCACACCGGTGAGAAGCCCTACTTGTGCAAAACATGTGGTAAAAGTTTTGCTCAACGTGGTCAAATAATGGTGCACATGAGAAGTCACACCGGTGAGAAGCCCTTTTCCTGTAAAACATGTGGCAAATGCTTTGCCCTGAAGAATGGTCTGAATATCCACATGAAAACACACACAGGTGAGAACCCCATTTCCTGTACAACGTGTGGCAAAGGCTTTTCTTATAATTATATTTTATTAACCCACATGAGAGTTCACACCGGTGAGAAGCCTTTTTCTTGTAAAACCTGTGGCAAATGCTTCTCTCGAAATTCTTTTTTACAAGCCCATGTGAGGACTCACACCGGTGAGAAGCCACATATGTGCAAAACATGTGGTAAGCATTTCACTCGACATAATGACTTAGTGGGCCACATGAGACTTCACACTGGTGAGAAACCCTTTTTGTGTAAAATATGTGGTAAATGCTTCACTCTAAGGAGCGGTCTGAACATTCACATGAAAACACACACTGGTGAGAAGGCCTTTTCCTGTAAAATATGTGGCAGGTGTTTCGTACAAAATTGCAGTCTGACCGTCCACATGAAATTACACAGAGGTGAGAAGCCCTTTTCCTGTAAATCCTGTGGCAAACGCTTCTCTTTGAATTCTACTTTAAAAACACACATGAGAACTCACACTGGTGAGAAGCCCTTTTCCTGTGAGATATGTGGTAAAAGTTTCAGTCAAAAACAAATTTTGACCGATCACATGGAAACTCACATGGGTGAGAAGCCCTGTACCTCCTCTAAACCTCTGCTAGAGCAGCTGGTTCTGAAGCAGAAGGCCAATACCTTCATGGTGACTTCTGTCCATGAGGAACGGGACCATATTAAAACAGAACCAAACTGGGACGAAGTCCTTCCTGAGATCCAAGACCAGTTAGGTTCAGGAACACTTCGAGACCAAGAACTTAACCCAAAGAGTAGCCCTGACAAAAGTCAAAGTGTTTTAGAGACACGGTGTGAGGCCCAGGTGGACAGAAAAACTGCTAAATGTGATTTTTGTAGTAAAAGCTTCAGGAATAAATATAGAATGGAGCTTCATCGAAGAGTCCACACTGGTGAGAAGCCCTTTTCTTGTGACATGTGTGGCAAGTGCTACTCTCGTAAGAGCATTCTGACCACCCACAAGAAGACTCACACTGGTGAGAAGCCCTTCTCCTGTCAAACCTGTGGCAAATGTTTCTCTACGAATTATACTTTGGTTGCACACATGAAAACTCACTCTGGTGAGAAGCCCTACACGTGCAACACCTGTGGTAAACGTTTCCTTCAGTCTGGTAATTTAATGACTCACCTGAAGACACACACTGGTGAGAAGTCCTTCTCCTGTAAAACCTGCGGCAAAAGTTTCTCTGAGAATTATCTTTTGGTCGGACACATGAGAACTCACACTGGTGAGAAGCCCTTTACATGTAAAACGTGTGGTAAATCCTACGCTCATAGAAACAGTCTCTTCAACCACATAAAAACTCACACTGGTGAGAAGCCCTTTACATGCGAAACATGTGGTAAAAGTTTTTCCCAGTCAAATCATTTAACATCTCACATAAGGATGCACACCGGTGAGAAGCCCTTTGCCTGTCAAACTTGTGGCAAATGTTTCCCTGAGAATTATCTTTTGGTCGGACACATGAGAAGTCACACTGGTGAGAAGCCCTTTTCCTGTATAATGTGTGGGAAAAGTTTTGCTCAGAATAGCTATTTGACCGTCCACATGAAAAAACATTTAAGTGACAAGCCCTTTACATGCAAAACATGCGGTGAGAGTTTTAATCATAGGCGAAAGTTGGCGTCCCACAAGAGACTACATGCAACAACAGAAAGTCAATAAATATTTCTTGACAAATAAACAAGCCCTCGCTCCACAACCCTCGCTGCTTCGTTTTCTTGCTCTTTTTTTGTCTCCGTTGCCTTTGACGTCTTCGTCTTCTTCCACTTTTTGTTTCTTCTTTCTGTTGTCTTGTTTTTTGTCTTTAGACGTTGTTGTTGTCGTTTATAGCTGCTTCCCTTTTGCGTCTCCACATTGGACCATTTGCTTCTCCCTCTCCAGACTCTCTTCCACCTGTTCCCTACTCTCAGAACCAGCATGTATTGTGGATAAATAAGTTTGACCCGTTTGAGCTGAAATGGGAGTGTTGACGATGACCTCAATGTAAAGTCTTGATCATAATGAATAGGGCTGGGCAATATCTCAATATTTTTTTAAGTATTGAGATATCTAATTCACGATATAAGATGAGACTATATCGTCTATATCAATATTTTTTACATTGAGTTATACTTGGACTTGAAAATCCGTGTAGTTCTTTTTCTCCCATCTGCACTCAGCCCCTCCTTCTCAGTCACTGAATACAAACACAGACCCTCACCCATGCGCACTCCCCCCCCACTTCCTGCTTCTCCAGATGGGAGAGAGTTGGCACAACAAGTAAACACAGGAGAAGATATCGAAGAGCGGCTTGGCTTGTGAGCAAAAACAATGGCTGTTATTGGGAAATGGTTTGGATTTAAATTGTCAGATGAGCAGCAGAAAAATGTTTTCTGTAGACAATTCCGAAAACCTGTCCAGACAAAAGGTCGGCGTCACAAATCTTTTTCACCATTTAAAACAGCTCTATAAGTGGAGTATGAAGCGTGTGTGAAGCTGTAGCTCCAACTGACTTCAGCCACCTTCCCTGAATCAAACCACGGGTCAGAACTCATTTAGCCGTGCTGTGCCTTTGAGAGGAACAGTGAGAGGTAGCGCGACATTAATAAAGCAGCGGCTTATCATATCGTCGTCCCGGTCTCAACTGTGGAACAAGACGGCTAACTCTAGCCATCTTGTTCCACAGTTAATTAAATATTATTTAATAAATGTAAATACTTTATTTTTTAGGCATTTATTTTGCACAGTTACAGCTATTTGTTAATAAATGTGCCTGTGTGACAATTGGGACAAAGCTTTGGCTCATAAGTATATTTTTTTTTTATTACTTTATGGAAAGAAAAAAAATATTGAGATATCATATATCACCATTCATATTAAAATATTGAGATATTAGTTTTGGTCCATGTCGCCCAGCCCTAATAATGAATCATAGGGCAGGCGGTGAAGTGATTCTGCTTTCTGTTGTGTTGAGTCTCTGTCAGAACCCAACCTTCATTTTAAAGTTTAAGATTGGTCTCACTGATCACCTCCACAGTCTACATCGAGATTCCTGACACGTTTATTAAATCTGCACATTTTATTTCTTATATAACTGTATCCAGTCAGTAATAAACAACTTAAATAATTATTTATGTGTGATTTATTTGTGATTTATACAATCGGGCTGTAAAAATTATGGATTATAAGTCAATCCGCTATCATCACTGTACCAATATTAAGAAATATAACCTAATGAGCTTTGATAGCTTTATTAGTTTTTGTTTTCTTAAAGTGTTCCATAAATTTGTCCATTGTTGTCATCTTTCTTTGTTAAATCAGGTCTCTCTTGTAAATGAGTCCTCGAGGCTCAATGGGATTTACCTGAATAAATAGAGGTTGAATGAATGAATGAAAAAAAAAATGCATCAGTCGTGTAGCACCTGAGCCATGATTTACATTTGTTAAGAGACAGAACAGCAACAGTCACTAGAAGTTCCACAAATCATGACCGTAAAATACCATTTTGCAGGACATCTTCTGGACAAAGGAGTTGTAAGCTGTGGAACTCATTACCATCTGATTTTAAGACCATAACTGACATTAAAATTTTCACTTCTAGGCTTAAGAATTGGCTAAAGATGAACCAGAATTGTACTCATTTTTAAATATTGTAATTGTTTTAGCGCAGTAGTTTTAAATACATTATTTTATATTTCATTTTCATCATGTTATTGTATTTACTGTTGAACTTTTCATTTAACCAACTGTTAAAGGTCCTTCTAAGGACGGGTGTTGCGAATTAGCTTTGGTCAAATATACTGTGATGCAGGCATTAGATTGTTTTGATCCATGTTTCTTGTATCTGTCCCTATCAAATAAACGATAAATAAATTCATGTCTTATAAAACTGATTGTTGTTTTTCTTGCATAAAATTACTTTTATGTTTTATCATCATGACTTTCTGAAGTAAATTTTTGGTGGCAGTTAATTTATGGTGTTAACGTCATTGTTTAATTAATCGCTGTGATAAATTGTTCATGTTCTGATCAGGAAAACATTTAGGTTTAGGTTTATTGTCTGAAATAAGATTTTGAATGCAATTCTGGATTTCTCTAGAAAAGTAGTCAGACGTCGTTAAATCTTTTTCATCCAGTTGTAAATATTGAACCAGAATGTTTGTTTTTACAATTCCTGTGGAAAAAATGTGTTCCACTTTTCTGCCAAATATGTTTATTATATTATAATCCGGGTATAATTTTTACTACATCTCATCAAAACACGTTTTACTATTTCCGCCGGTGCTTATTATTGAGACACCACCGGAAGTAAACCGCGCTATCTGCGATATTATATTTATATTTGTGTTTGTGGCTAAGGTAAATATTTTAGCTGTGTTGGAATCATTTGTTCTTGATTAATTGAAGCCGCTCATATAATTTATCGATTTTTTGGGTTTTACTCGTTGTATTTTGAATATTTCTTTATATTTCAGTTTTCGTCAAGCTGCACGGTGAGACATCACACCGGAAGTGCAGCAGGGGCTAGCAGCGTTAGCATCGTTAGCTTATTTTGTCTTACGGTAGTTTCGTTGCGTGTGAGAGGTGAATGTTTGAGTGTGTGCAGCAACAATGTCTTCAGTTCAGTCTCTGAGAGAGTTTATCAGCGAGCGACTAACTGCTGCTGCTGAAGAAATATTCACAGAGTTTGAAAAAACCATCGTCCGGTACGAGGAAGAGATCGATCGTCAGCGCAGACTGCTGGACATCAGCTGGAAACCTCACACACACCTGCACACAACAGGTAGGAGCTGCAGCGGAGTGCATGTGGAAGTCTTTATTCATTTATGACACATTGAGGTGAAATCAGTAAAGATGAATCTCTAGAGAGTCTGTTCCTTCACAGCCGGGTGGCAGCCATTTTGAGGGACTGCCTCACGTACAGTCGGTTGTAAACCCCGGAGGTTCCGTGCCTCGGTCTGCTGACAGACATCCAGTCCGGACTCAGCAACGTTTTTTCTGCTGTTTGACCCGGTTCTGACAGTCGGATCTCCTCCATGTGCTCATCAGAAACACTTGGGGACCGTCATCAAATAACACGAAGAACAAAAAGAAATGGCGTCCTGATGCTGCTCATTAACAAGGTTAAGTCGGTTCCTTTGGATGGATTCTTCTTTTTAAAATGTTTCGGTTTTTTATCCAAAGGACTTCTTCAGCCTGAACTTCTGCAAGGATCTCAGTCTTATAAATAGCACCTTGTCAAAGTGGACCATCCAGTTTGCTGGTTAGACCTAGTTGTTCCAGTGGCGGCTCCAGATATATTTTTATGCAGGTGGTGTGTGTGTGTGTGTGTGTGTGTGTGTGTGTGTGTGTGTGTGTGTGTGTGTGTGTGTGTGTGTGTGTGGTGTTTGGTAAGCATTTTACTGAGGATGTTATGAAGGATCAATTGTTCTTTCACTTCACAGACACAAGCACAGAGCTGAACTCAGATAAGTATAGTCACCAATAAAGTGGATGGTGACTGTTGTATTCTGCAATTTAATTAATTTAATTAGCAATTTAATTGTTATGCTGCTATAGACTTATTACTAGAGCACAAATTGACCTCATTTCCTTAAATGAATTGTTAAAATTGAATAGTTTTCATTTGATACTATTTCTATCTTAATGTGATTCTTGACCTGCCATTGTGTATCTATTCCTACCAGGGTTTCATTTGTAAATTAATTGATGCCAGAACAAAAACAGTAGGCGGTCCGGTCGGGGGAGGGGAGTGTGGGGTCCGTGGGTCCTCCCCCAGAAAACTTGGAATAAAAGAGATGCCATTTCATGCGTTTTGGTGTATTTTAGCAGATTGTTAAACATCTAAGCAGAAACTATCGTCCATAAATTAATCCCTGTTGCCTCCAACATGTGACGGTCAATAGAACTGTCCAATCTCCCAGCTTTAGTTGACAGCTTCAACTTCTTATGTCCACTGACGTCATTTCTTTGTCTCTTGGTCCAGAACTCCCGCAGCATTTTGTCTGGAGACGTGAGGAGCTGGAGGTTCTCACTGAGCAGCAGCTCAGGAACCACAAGATGAACTCTGGATTGGACCAGGAGGAACCACAACCTCCAGCAGGAGATCATCAACCACAGAAAACAGAAGACCAGGAGGAACCCAAACATTTACAACAAGAGGAACCTGAACCTCTAGAGGAAGAACCAGACCTTCCAGAGAAGGAACCAGAATCACAAGTTAAAGAACCAGAACCTCCACAGATGAAAGAGGAACAGGAGGAACTCTGCATCAGTCAGGATGAAGAGCAGCTTGGTGTGAAGCTGGCAGCTGAGACCTTCATGGTGACTGTTGGCTTTGAGGAAAAAGGTCACTGGGAACCAGAAGCAAACTGGGAACAACTCCTTCAGAATTCTCCTGAAGCTGAGACTCAAGATCAGGAAGGAAGCAGGACTGAAGATCCTGGATCCAGCAGAGAAGAGGAGCTGACACAGAACGAGAGACGTCCTCAAACCAGAGAACATGGAGACGATGTGGACAGTCCAGAACTGAAGAGACACAAGAAAAGTCACACAGGTGAGAAACTGTTCACCTGTGAAATTTGTGGTAAATGTTTTTCTTGCAACAGTCAGTTAACCTGATACTTGAGGGTCCACGTTGGTGAGAAGCTTTTCTTATGTCAGAGTTGTTCAACAGAATTATTATCCATCCAATATCTTCATCTTGTTCTGGACTCAGGTCTCGGAGGCAGCAGCTTAACCAAAGAGGTTCAGATATCTGTTTGGAGGGATTCAAAATGGCGACTGCACTACGGCAGCTCAGATAGTTGGGATTGTGTTGTCCATGGTAAGCAGGCTCACTGTCAGGTCCAGAATAGAATTCAAAATCTTACTTGTAACCTACAAAGCCCTCAACAACCTAGCTCCATCTTATATTACAGATCTTATTGTTCCATATTTTCCTAACAGAGCACTTCACTCTCAGACTGCAGGTTTACTTGTGGTTCCTAGAGTTTCCAGCAGCAGAATGGGAGGAAGATCTTTCAGTTCTCAGGCTCCTCTCTTGTGGAACCAACTTCCAGTTTCTGTCCGTGAGGCTGACACATTGTCCAGTTTGAAGACTTTCCTTTTTGATAAATCCTATAGTTAGGGTTGGCTTGTTATGCTGCTATAGACTTAGACTACTAGAGGACAAATTGACCTTATTTCCTTAAATGAATTGTTAAAATTGAATAGTTTTCATTTGATACTATTTCTATCTTAACATGTGATTCTTGACCTGCCATTGTGTATCTATTCCTACCAAACCCAGCCGGTCGAAGCAGATGGTCCTCTTGTCCTGATCCTGGTTCTGCTAAAGGTTTCTTCCTCATGAGGGAGTTTTTCTTTCCACTGTCGCCTTCATGCTTGTTCAAGATGAGAGTTCTGTGATGGAGTTAAACTCAAAGCTGCTCCTCACATAAATAATGTTCAATTATTATTTTTATATAAATGAATGATTCTGTTCAGTCCCTGAGATGACTTCTGTTGTGACTTGACTCTATATAAATAAACTGAATTGAAACTGAATTGAATCCTACAATTAAAACCAGATGGCTCGCTTCAGTTTATCACAGATTATAGAAAAGTGAATAAAATTACAATTCCTGACTCGTATCCAATACACTGTTTTGGCCTTTGGGATAAATAATGTACCAGCTACATTCCAGCGTCTTGTCAACACCATTCCAAGTGTTGTAGACAATTGCAATGCCTACTTAGATGACTTGATTATTTACACTATTGTGGGAAGAACACATTAAAGTACTTGATCAGGTGTTCACTTGTCTCAGCCAGGCATCACTAACACTGAACCTTGCCAAGCGCGAGTTTGGAAAAGCTACAGTGACATACCTTGGTAGAGAGTTAGGCCAAGGTCAAGTGTGACCCATTGATGCCAAAGTAATGGCCATTAGGGCTGGATGATATTGACCAAAATTAATATCTCGATATTTTAAGATTTCCATTTAATTCAGTTTTTATACATATATATATACAGATGTATATGTATATATAGTGTAGGTATGTGCAAACCCCAGCCCACGCGCCATATACGGCCCATTGGGCTTTTTAATTGGCTCGCCAAAATTGTCCAAAATTTAAAAAAATAGTAATTTATATATAATTTTTTTTATTTTTATGTTACATCCCAGCTTGCTGTGGACGTAACGGTGACCTGGAGTGTCCTGGTGCCATGTGCACTTATGGACATCCTTATGACATACATAGGACCAATCTAAAAAGCACATGTTACGTAAACATTTTAAATAATTGTTAAAAACCCATCTCTAAGAACCATATTCATATACAGCACCAGAAAACATGCAGCTGAGAAGCCAATTTGGGACCCGCAACATGCAGGTTTAATTACCTGCTGTGCCCACTTGTTATTATATACTTGTACTGTCCTGAGAAGCCCTTGGTTAAGGACTTTTTAGATCTATTGGACTCATTTATTCTAACGCAGCTCGTAAACGGTCCCACCCAAGAGCGCGGACATACACTGGACCTTGTTTTAACTCATGATATGACTGTTAGTAATCTTGAAATTGGTGATAATGTTTTTTCAGACCACATGCCAGTCCGGTTTGAGTTCACCCTCCCCCATCTAACTCCTAAGCTGTGCGTTGCGGCACGTAGTAGCCGGGCCATTAACCACTTCACTGCCGCACGTTTCACAGATGTTTATAACTCTGAAATGATAATTCAGCCCCCAGTGTTTCTCACCATCACTGAGGAGCTGACATCCCAGTTCAACTCTGTCTGCTTAAAGACTCTGGATCATGTTGTGCCTGTTAAAACCAAAAAATCTAAACTCAGAGCAGAACCTTGGCTGAGTGACGTCACCAAGGCCGTTAAGCAGCAATGTAGGAGGACGGAACTAAAGTGGAGGAAAGACAGGCTGCAGGTCTCTTTTCAAATACTTAAAGAGAGTTGGCGCCGTTATCAGAAAGCAGTAAAAGCTGCTAAATCCAAATACTTCTCTGATATAATTACCTCAAACTCTCACAACCCACGTGTCCTCTTCTCCACCCTAAACTCTGTTCTCCACCTCACTGAACCATCACCTCTGGAAGCCTCGACTGAGCTGTGCGATAACTTCTCACATTTCTTTTTGGAAAAAATTATGACCACCCGGGCTTTCATTTCCCCCCCAACTCATGACCCATCCATCCCACCTCAATCTGTAGCTTCTTTTGACCATTCTGAACCCATCACTCTCTATCTTCTCTAGAGCAGGTCATGTGCAGCTTGAAACCTTCTTGTTCCCCCTTTGATGTGGTCCCCCCTCGACTACTAAAGAAGGTGTTTCCAACTCTAGGTCCGTCCATTCTTGCTATAGTAAACAGTAGTTTATCCACTTGCGTGGTGCCAAAAACCTTCAAACATGCTGCTGTCCAGCCTTTCCTGAAAAAAACAAACCTTGACCCCTCAGTCGTTTCCAACTACTGGCCTGTCTCCAAACTCCAATTTGTTTCTAAACTACTAGAAAAAATAGTTGAGTCCCAGTTGAAGTGCTTCCTGGAGGGTCACGCCATCTTAGAGCTTTTCCAATCTGGCTTTAAAGCTCTCCACAGCACTGAAACTGCCCTGCTGAAGGTCTTTAATGACATTTTCTTAACCACTGATACCGGTGATTCTGTGCTGCTTGTCCTGTTGGACCTCACAGCCGCCTTTGACACCATCGACCATGAGATCCTCATTGCTAGGTTAGAGCAGTGGATGGGCGTCACAGGGTCAGCCCTCAATTGGTTCAGATCTTACCTCACTGACAGATCCTTTTGTGTCTCCATCAAGGATTTTAGTTCTGCAGCGGCAGATCTTAAATGGGGGGTTCCGCAGGGGTCCATCCTGGGTCCACTCCTATTCGGGGGCCGAGATGGTGTAGAGGCAGGGCAGCCAGCTTGGGACCCGAAAGTCCCAGGTTCGATCCCCAGTCACTGCATATCACGTGGTGTCTCTGGGCAGCACACCTCATCCCCAAAATGCTCCCCGGGCACTTTCAATAGCTGTCCACTGCACCACCTGGTGGTGGATGGGTTAAATGCAGAGACTAATTTCGCAATTGTATGGAAACATACAGTGCTGACTTTGTGATGACATTATTATTATTATTATTATTATTATTATTATTATTATTATTATTCTCTTTATACCTGCTGCCCCTTGGTGCTATTTTCCGGAAACACAACATGCCCTTCCACTTCTACACTGATGACTGTCAAATTTACTTCCCCCTAAGACACAATGGCACATGCTCTATTCAACCTCTTCTCGACTGCCTGGCTGACATCAGGGACTGGATGGCTTTAAATTTCTTAAGTTTCAATGAAAAGAAGTCTGAAGTCATGTTGTTCCCTCCCAACGACACATTCACAAACCACTGCATCAACCTCTCCGCTCTAACCCTGTCAGAAAAACAAAGAGTCACTAATCTGGGAGTGATAATGGACCCTTCCCTGAAACTTAAACATGATTGTTACATCATGTTTCTTCCAACTGAGGCGGCTGTCTAAACTGAAGCCCATATTGTCCAAAAAGAACCTGGAGACAGTAATACATGCATTCATTACATCTAGGCTTGATTACTGCAATTCGCTCCTGTTTGGTATCAGTCAGACCTCCATTGCACGACTACAACTGGTCCAGAATGCAGCAGCCCGATTTTTAACCAGTACAGGCAAAAGAGAGCACATTACACCAGTTTTGGCCTCACTGCACTGGTTACCGGTTCACTTTCGAATCCAGTTCAGAATACTGATGTATGTCTACAAATCACTGAACAGTCCCCCCCCCCCCCACACACACATCTCTCTGATCTGCTACAGCCGTATGTCCCACCACGTTCCCTGAGGTCAGCGGACCAGTTGCTCCTCACAGTTCCAGGAACTCATCTTAAGCGCAGAGGTGACAGGGCCTTCTCTGTAGCAGGACCAAGACTTTGGAACGAGTTACCTCTGCTTGTCAGACAGGCCCCCTCCCTCTCGGTTTTCAAGTCCCGTTTAAAAACCCACTACTATTCGGTAGCTTTTGACACCAGATGATCTGTGTTTTGAACCTTTATACTCCACACTGGTTTGTCATCATTATCTGCATCGTTTTTTGTCTATATTCTGATTTACTTCATTTTGTATTTTGCTTTGTGTGTTACCTGTTGTTCTGTCTGTACAGCACTTTGGTTGGCCTTGTCACTGTTTTAAGTGCTCTATAAATAAAATGGTATGGTATGAACAAGACACCTTTTCCTGGGCGCTTAGGTGTGTCGAGTTTAATGTAGAGCAAAAAATGTTGTTGTTGGGAATAATGATTTTACATAGATAGAACTTTCACTTTCAAATCATGAAAACAACCCAAAGAACAAAAAAATGAAAAGGAGGCTGCAATAATTAATTAGTTTGGTAAGTGACTAATTAATATTTTCTGCAACATCTGTAGGCCTTCTGGCACCAAAACATGATGGACTAAAACACCCGTCTTACAACTTCTCTGCTGACTTTCTTAAAGTGTCTTCTCAGATAAACATGAACTAAATCTGTTTTTGACTAAATAAATAATTCAGAGTCTTCATGTCCACGATGCGTCTAAAAGGAAACAAGTACTAGAGACATGCTACTTCCACTGAAAACATTTCCTCTCTCTTTTTTAGAACTTCAGCAGAATTATGCCTGCAAAGAAGAGGAAGTTCTCACTGAGTTGCAGATCAAGAACCAGGAGTGGAACTCTGGTTTTGACCAGGAGGATCCACAACCTCCAGCAGTAGATCGACAACCTCGAAAAAGCCAAGACCAGGAGGAACCACTTGTACAGATTAAAGAGGACCTGGAAGAACCAGCACTTCCACAGACAAAAGAGGAACTGGAGGAACCAGTACCTTCACAGATGAAAGAGGAGCAGGAGGAACTCTGTATCACTCGGGATGAGGAGCATCAAGTTTTGAAGCTGGAGGCTGAGACCTTCATGGTGACAGTTGAGGATACAGTCCACTGCGAACCAGGACCAAACTGGGACAAGCTCCCTTCACAGAACTTTCCTCATATTGAGAACCAAGACCGGGAAGATGCAGGAACATCTAGAGACAGAGAACTGAACCCCAAGAACCGACCAGACAGAAGCCAAAGTGTGAAAAACTTTTCAGTTAACCTGTTTGATCCTGAGGTTGAAGGGAAACCTGTAAAATGTGATGTTTGTGGAAAACGTTTTAGGGATAATCATCAAATGAAGGAGCATAGAAGAATCCACACTGGTGAGAAGCCCTTTACATGTCAAACATGTGGAAAATGTTTCTCTTTTAAATGTCGTTTAATGATTCATGCAATGACCCACACCGGTGAGAAGCCCTATATGTGTGAAACATGTGGAAAAAGTTTCTCTTTAAAAAGTCGGTTAACAATTCATACAAAGACCCACACTGGTGAGAAGCCTTATATGTGTGAAACATGTGGAAAAACATTCAGCCAGCGTCATCATCTAGAGATTCACATAAGAGTTCACAACGGTGAGAAGCCCTTTTCTTGTAAAACCTGTGGCAAAGGCTTCTCTGACAATTTTCGTTTAAAAGTTCACACAAGAACTCATACCGGTGAGAAGCCTTACTCGTGCAAAACATGTGGTAAAAGTTTTGCTGAACGTGGTCAAATAGTGGTCCATATGAGAAGTCACACGGGTGAGAAGCCACACATGTGCAAAGTATGTGGTAAATATTTCACTCGAAGTGATGATTTAGCAGGCCACATGAGAATTCACACTGGTGAGAAGCCCTTTTTGTGTAACATATGTGGCAAATGCTTCACTCTAAGGAGAAGTCTGAACATTCACATGAAAACTCACACTGGTGAGAAGCCCTTTTCCTGCAATATATGTGGCAGGTGTTTCGCTCAAAATTTTAATCTGACCGTCCACATGAAATTACACAGAGGTGAGAAGCCCTTCTCCTGTAAATCCTGCGGCAAACGTTTCTCTTTGAATTCTACTTTAAAAACCCACTTGATAACTCACACTGGTGAGAAACCCTTTTCCTGTGAGATATGTGGCAAGTGCTACTCTCAGAAATGCCATCTGATCAAACACACTAGAACTCACACTGGTGAGAAGCCCTTTTCCTGTGAGATGTGTGGCAAGTGCTTCTCTCAGAAGAGCAGTTTGATCAACCACACTAGAACTCACACTGGTGAGAAGCCATTTTGCTGTGAGATGTGTGGTAAAAGTTTCAGCCAAAAAAGGACTTTGACTGATCACATGGAAACTCACATGAGTGAGAAGCCCTGTACTTCTTCAAAGCCTCTGCTTGAGCAGCTGGTTCTGAAACAGGAGGCCAATACCTTCATGGTGACGTCTGCCCATGAGCAACAGGACCATATTAAACCAGAACCAAACTGGGATGAAGTCCTTCCTGAGATCCGAGACCAGTTAGGTTCAGGACCATTTAGAGACCTAGAACTAAACTCAAAGAGTAGCCCTGACAGAAGTCAAAGTATTTTAGAGACACGATGTGAGGCCCAGATGGACAGAAAACCTGCTCAATGTGATATTTGTAGGAAAGGCTTCAGGAGTAAATATAGGATGGAGATACATAGAAGAGTCCACACTGGTGAGAAGCCCTTTTCTTGTGACATATGTGGCAAATGCTACTCTCGTAAGAGCATTCTGACCAACCACAAGAGGACTCACACTGGTGAGAAGCCCTTCTCCTGTCAAACCTGCGGCAAATGTTTCTCTGCAAATTATTCTTTGGTTGCACACATGAAAACTCACTCTGGTGTGAAGCCCTACACTTGCAAAACATGTGGTAAAAGTTTCCTTCAATCTGGTCATTTAATGAATCACCAGAAGACGCACACTGGTGAGAAGCCTTTTTCCTGTAAAACATGTGGTAAATGCTACTCGCAAAGAACCAGTCTCTTTAACCACATAAGAACTCACACCGGTGAGAAGCCCTTTACATGCAAAACATGTGGTAAAAGTTTCTTCCAGTCAAGTCATTTAACATCTCATATAAGGATTCACACCGGTGAGAAGCCCTTCGCCTGTAAAACTTGTGGCAAATGTTTCCCTGAGAATTATCTTTTGGTCGGACACATGAGAACTCATACTGGTGAGAAGCCCTTTTCCTGTAAACTGTGTGGAAAAAGTTTTGCTCAGAACAGCTATTTGACCGTCCACATGAAAAGACATTCAGGTGAGAAGCCTTTTTCCTGTAAAACATGCGGTAAAAGTTTTACTCAGAACAGCTATCTGACCGTCCACATGAAAAGACATTCAGGTGAGAAGCCCTTTTCCTGTAAAACATGTGGTAAATGTTTTACTCGAAGGCGAAAGTGGACGTCCCACATGAGATTACATGCAAAAATAGAAAGTCGATAAATATTTTTTGACAAATTAACAAGCTCTCGCTCCACAACTGCTTCTTTTTTTTTTTTTTTCTTCCTTTTTTTGTCTGTTGCCTTTGACGTCTTTGTCTTCTTCCACTTTTGTGTCTTCGTTCTGTTGTCTTGTTTTGTGTCTTTAGTCCTGGTTGACGTTTTTAGCTGCTTCCCTTTTGCGTCTCCACATTGGACCATTTGCTTCTCCCTCTCTAGGCTCTCTTCCACCTGTTCCCTTCTCCCTCTTCAGAACAAGTATGTCTTGTAGATAAATAAGTTTTATCGACACATTTGAGCTGAAATGGGAGGGCTGATGATGACCTCTATGTGACGTCTTAATCATAATGAATCATAGGGCAGGCAGTGCAGTGAATTCTGCTTCTTGATATGTTGAGTCTCTGTCAGAACCGAACTTTCATTTTAAAGTTAAAGATTTGTCACACTGATCACTTCCACATCTACATCGAGATTCTTGACCTGTTTATTAAATCTGCACCTTTTATTTCATATGACTATCCAGTCAGTAATAAATAACTTAAATAATCATTGACGTGTGATTAAATGTTTTCCTCACGTCTTTTAAATTTCATTCTGTTTTTCTTGATTTACGATTTTTAAGTTTTTAGAAAGAAAAGAAAGTTTTGAGATTGGCCTGAAGTTTGAACAAGTGGAATCAGAATCAGCCTTTGTCATTGCATAGAAGCACAACCAAATTTCATTTCAGTATAGTCTGTCCAAAGAAACACATCAGCCAAACAACATAGACATAGATGGAGTGCCTGAGGCTGCAGCCTCATGAGAAGGCCTTGAAGGGTTAAGTCCAGTTTTTTTTTTTTATTAGAATGACCACTACATGTTTGAAAACATCAGGAACCCCACCTGTAGCCATACTGCTATTTATAATAGCAAGAACAGAGGATCCAGTTGATGGTAAAACTTGTTAAAAAATGCTGCAGGTATGGGCTCAGCAGGGGAACCAAGGGTTTCATATGACCAACAACATCATTTAAAAATGAGGGGGAAATGGGTTCAAACTGACTGAAGACTGATGAGCAGGGGACAAAGACAGAGGGATCAGAGTGTGAAATAAATGACCTAATCGACTCAATCTTTTCAACAGATGTCTGACAAACTTATTACAGGTGTCTACAGAGGCCTCAATGTTGGCAAACTGAGGCATGTGTAAAATGGAGTTAATATTGTTAAAAAGAACATGGGGATTATGACTATTGAAGTTGATAATTTTGGAGAAACATTTGTTTTTCTCTTTAACAGTGGTCTGATATTCTTTCCGACACGTTTTTAACATCAAAAGAAACCTGAAATTTTATCTTTCTTCCATTTACGCTCCGCTCTCCTGCACTGACGTCTTGCTGCTCGAGTGGTCTCATTTAACCAAGGGTGGGGTGTGCATTTAGGATTCCTGATCTTTAATGGAGTGACTGAATCCAAGATCTTTACACAGGTCTCCTGATGCTGCGATAGCAACTCGTTTGTCGTAAGGCACACAGAGGGTCCAGAGTCTGTAACAAAAAACAGATAAGCCATATGTTAATAAGTCAAGTGTGCGGCCTTGTTGGTGAGTCAGACCAACAACACTGTACAAATCTAAAAAAAGTTATATCCTGTCTTCTGGACGGGTTCAAAAAACAAACAAAAAAATTGTACTTTTTTTTGTTTTTTGAACCCATCCAGAGGACCAGACTTAACTTTTTTTTTAGATTTTTCTACCTGGATTATTGAGCATGCATCAACACTGTACAAAGTGAAAGGACTGGATGAGTTCTAAAATCTCCTGAGCTAATGGTTTATCAGGGCAGCAGACATGAATATTGAAATCCCCACAATTAAAACACTGTCATATTTGAGCAGGATTCCGGTTAGAAAGTCCGAGTTCATTTAAAAACTCTTTGTTGTATTTAGGCGGTCTATAAAGCACAGCACACATAACTGGGTTGGAGCAGCCCAGCTCACAACAGAGCAGTTTGAAACTCGAATAATTAGCGGAATCATGGAGCTGTCTGCAGTTCAAATGTTTCCTAAAAACTGTCGGTAATCCTCCACCACGACCAGTTGTCCTTGGAGCATCGAAAAAAGAGTAATCTTGAGGCAATAATACCAATAAAACACTGAACTCACTAGGGCATGTCTAAGACTCGGTGAAGAAAATAAATTCCAGTCCGCTGGAGCATAAAAAGGCATTTAAAATAAAAGTTTTATTCGCCAACAATCTAGCATTTATCATGACCATCCTCATAGAATCCACTGCAGGAGGAGATGACTGCAGTGCCCAGTTCAGCAGTCTCAAATTTGCAGAGTTCGACCCGCATCACAGGCCAGAAACGCAGCCGCATACAGGCCCACTGTGAGAATCGAACCCAACCAACAGACCAGACATTGTGCCACAGGATCAGCACAGCTCCAGGATCGGCAATAGAAATGGTGACAATCAGCTGGAGAGGTTACTGCATAGAGTGCAAGATGGGCTTTAGGCTTCACCAGCCAACCAGCACATTTTCCCCAACATCTGGAGCGCTGTCTCCTTATAAGCAGGTGCGCAGCGCAGGTAAACAGACATGTCTGCCCGCAGAGGGGGGAGAGGGGTCCAAAGCTCCACTCACAGTTCATTCAACCTTTATTTAGACAATAGTCAAAATAAATGGTGTTGGTGGCACAAAGTCGAAGATCCAGAAGTTGTTGTCGTTCATATACCTGCAGAGAGTTGATGTCACAAATAAGAAATGGAGAAAAAAAAAAACCAAATAACACAATCACTGCCAGCAGAGGTGGATGGCAGGCCATGGACACAGGTGCCATCTTCTCGGAAGTGAAAATGGCGCCTGTGTAAAAGAGACCCTGTGGTGAGTGATCATGTGATCGAGAGGGAGGATGTAGAGAGTAAATAATGTGGGCCCATGGACTGACCCCTGATGGACACCACAGGTGACTGTGCGAGTCCGGGATCTTGCTTCCCCGATGGAGACTTACTCAGATCTGTCAGAGAGGTAACAGCAGAACCATTCCAGAGCTGTCTCAGTCAATCATGCAGTGTGTTGTAGGCGATGGAGAAGGATGCCATGATCCACAGTATCAAAAGCTGAGCTCAAGTCCAGAAGGATCAGAAGGGAAGGAGAGCCAGCATCAGCTGCCATCAGAAGGTCATTTGTGACCCTGACCAGAGCTGTTTCTGTGCTATGAGCTGAATGAAAGCCAGACTGGAATACCTCCATGATATTATTAGTTTTTCCAGCACTTTGGACAAAAATGGAAGGTTGGCAACAGGTCTGTTAATTTACATGATGACTGGATCCAAGGTGAGCTTTTTAAGAAGGAGTTTGATGATTGCAATTTTCAACGTAGGTGGGACAAAACCAGTTTGGATGGAAAGGTTTATCACAGATGTGATCAAAGGACTGATGAAATAAAGGTTTATTTTCAGCAGAGCAGTGGGGAAAGGACTGAGTCAGAGTCAGAGTTTCTTTATTGTCATTCGCACCTCATGTGGTACATGTGGTGGAGCGAAATTATGTCCACAGGGTCCCAGTTACATCCAACAATAAAATGTATAAGAAAAACAGTAATAACATCTAAGATATGAACTAAGAAAAACATCAACTAAATATACACTAAGCACTCATAACATAAAACATTGAACATCAGCACAAACATGAACATGAGTCTGTGAGCAGATGTGCACGCATGAACACATCAACATTGAAACAGATCAGCAGCAACATTATGTGATTTTTCACAGTGATTATTCTAGAGATTCATGAGTCTAACAGCCTCAGGGTATAAGCTGTTCCTCAGTCTAGTGGTTCTACACTTAATGCTCCTCAACCTCCTTCCTGAGGGGAGTGGGGCAAAAAGTGTGTGTGCTGGGTGAGTGGGGTCCTTCATGATGCAGGTGGTCCTCTTCCTGCATCTAGAGGTGTAGATGTCTGTGATGGTGGGGAGACTGACTCCAACATCTTCTGTGCAGCCTTCACCACTCTCTGCAAAGCTTTTCTTTCTGCAGCTGTGCAGCCTCCATGCCACACGTTGATGCTGGAGCACAGGATGCTCTCCACTGCACACCTGTAGAAGGAGGTGAGGACTGAGCTTCCAGACCAGCTCGCCTCAGCCGTCTGAGGAAGTAGAGTCTCTGATGATCTTTCTTCATCAGGCTGGTGGTGTTGTTGCTCCAGCTGAGGTTGTTGTTCAGGTGCACACCCAAGTACTTTTAGCTGGAGACCACTTCCACCGCAGATCCTCTTATGTTCAGGGGGGTGTAGATGTTTCTGTTCCTTCTGAAGTCCACAATCATCTCCTTTGTCTTCTTCACATTGATGTGAAGGTTATTCTCTTTGCACTAGCTCTCCAGGTGTTCCACCTCTTGCCTGTAGCTGGACTCATCATTGTTTGTGATGCATCCCACCACCACTGTATCATCTGCAAACTTTACAATATGACAGCCTGGATGAGTAGCTGCACAATCATACGTGAGCAGAGTAAACAGGAGGGGGCTCAACACACATCCCTGAGGAGAGCCAGTGCTGAGGGTTATGGTGGAGGAGGAGAAGTTGTGGATCCTCACTAACTGTGGTCTGTTTGTTAAGAAGTCTAGTACCCAGTTGCAAATGGAGGGGCTTAGTCCTAGTGTGGATAGTTTGTCCATCAGGGTTTGGGGGATCATGGTGTTGAAGGCGGATGTGAAGTCCACAAAGAGCATACGGACGTAATTGTATTGAGAATACAAGTAGAGGATTTCATTCTTTTGATAATAGCTGTCACTTCTTGCTCGTCGACTGATGTAAAGCATTGAAGAGGTTGAGGATTTTGATCCTGGGACTTGTGAAATGGTACAGGTAAAACTACCAAGTTTGTCAGGGCAGACCGTATGATGTGAATTTTGGTATGAAAAAAGTCCATAAAGTTATGGCAGTGTTCTTCAGTTGTTTCTGTAAGTGAGGAGGTTTTGTGTTGAAGGAGATGGTTTACTGTGAAAAAAGTTGGTTGGAGTTCCCAGGGTGTTGTGTTCTGCTGAACTGAAATGGAATTGTGTTATTGCTTGAAAAGGGCACCAGAGGGCGCTGTAAGACTATGTTGAAAAAGATGCTGTACAGAGTGATGAAGGACGAGAGGAGGAAGAAAGAAAGTGAAAGTAAAGGAGAACTGAAGCTGATCCACGTGTCTCTTTATTTTTCCTTTAATTCAGTCTTGCAACCCACAACATTAGTGATGAGGATGTCTATTTCTGTGCCTTTACCTGCTCCATTCCTGCCATGCCTGGGGGAACCAGCGATAACATTTCTAACATGGCTAAAAATGTTTGAAAACTACATGTTGGTGATTGCAGTGTCGGGGGACGACTGGCCTGATTCAAAAAACGTTCAATACAAAAACAACTGGACTTTATTTGTAACAGAAGACGTTTCGCTCCTCATTCGAGGAGCTTTCTCAATTCAATGAGCAGTAAGTGAGAGATTCAGGTTATAAGGCTGAGTGAGATAAGACACACACACATATGTAGATTTGACAAGTCACACCTCAACACCTTAACAGTTCGGGTTTCTTAAAGTCTTTGTTCCTCTAATTCACAGTCGAGGCCCCTCTGTTCCCATCAGGTGTGAAAACCGGCGGGGAATCAGTCTTAAAGTTGCATTATAGGTTTTTGAAAGTGGGAATCTGAGGCCTCCTCCTCTGTTAAGAGACGGCTTTTCTCTTTTTACATAAATTGCTTCCTTCACCCACCTCTCAAACCATCTGTGTACTCGGTCCAAAATGTGCACATTTTGGTCCTCAAAAGAGTGCCCCTTATCTGTGAGGTGGAGGTGAACAGCTGGATCTTGTCCCAAAGAGCTGGATCTCCTGTGTTGAGCCATGCGTCTGTGAAGAGGCTGTTTAGTTTCCCCAATGTAGAGGTCTGGACAGTCCTCGCTACACTGGACCGCATACACTACACCACTCTGTTTGTGTATGGGTATTTTGTCCTTAGGGTGGACCAGCCTCTGTCTGAGAGTCCTGCTGGCCTGATGAAAGAAAGCACGCGGTTCTACTTCATGCCCTGGATACGGAGGATCAAGGGCTTTTCTACACCCTGCCGAACACTGGAGACACATTTGCTGCTACTATTGCTGCTGCTATTGCTGCTCTAAAAGAACATTTTGTACCGAAGGTGAACGTCATTGCTGAACATCTCAAGAGACTGTTTATTACTTGAATCGGACCTAACACTTGCTAAAGATACTACATTGGCATTGCAATTTGAAAGTAGATTAAGGGATGCTAACGTTCTCTCTGATGTTACTGTTGCTGCTGACGCTTCTGCTCTGGTGAGGGCCATACAGAAACAATCAAAGCCAAGCCACCGCTGAATCCTGCTCCTGCCACAGCTCAAGCTGCCGGTAACGTTCCTGCTTTTATTGTAGATCTTCTAACCATCTTGCTAACAAACCTTCATGCCCTGCTGTTAAAGTGACCTGCAACAAGTGTGGTAAGTGGGACATTTTTCACGAGTATGCCGTTCAAATAAAAAGGAGATACGTGAAGTCATCATTAATGAGCCCACAGTTCTTTACATGAACAATACAGTACAAGACAAGATCCTCTGCACAGTTCAAGTGACTGCTAATGAACAATGTAAAGATGTGGAGCTGATTGTAGGTAAAGGTTCATCTGTTTCCAATATACCAGAGAACATTTACTGCACATTCTTCTGGGAGTGGTGGCGCAGAGGTTAGAGAAGGTGGGCCTGTGATCGGAAGATCGCCGGTTCAAGCCCCGGTACCAACAATATCAAAAATGTGGGAAGCACCCACACCTGCCCCTACCCTCATTCGTCCCACTCTGGGCCCTTGAGCAAGGCCCTTAACCCCCACCATCTGCTCCTCCGGGTGTCCTAGATAGCAGCTCTCTCTGCTCCACACAGAGGCTGTGGTAGCTCGGTGGTCTGTGGTTGCGTCAGGAAGAGCATCCAGCATAAAAATAACTGCCAAGTCTTCGTGCGACTTAGTTTGCTGTGGCGACCCGTAACGCAGGGAGCAGCCAAAAGAAGAAGATAAATTTTTATTGCACATTCTTTTCAGAATGTGCCCTAATTAAACCCAACTAAATCTGTTGATTCTTTTAAAAAGCAGCTTAAGACACTTATTCAGACAAGCTTTTGTTCAATTGACCTCGAAGTTTCTAAAACATTCAAATTTTTTACGTTGATATCTCCCCTTTATCGAAAAGGAGTCTTTCTCCCAGACTCATTCCCATGAAGATAACACCATAAGAACCCTTTGTTCAAAATAACATTCTTTTTCCAGGAGATGGGCAGTCAACAGCAACACTTCTGTTAAAACATTGCATGTTTTAAGTTTGATTCTAAATATTCCATACCTGAATTATTCATGAAAATCTGTATTTTAAGTAATCTTTCTTTAAGATAATACATTTGTCTTATTTTCTCTTTTAAAAAGGAAACTTTTAAGGCAGAAATGGGACCTTAGATTTTATAAAACAAGGCAAAAGTTAGAACCACCCCTCCTGAGGTGGATCAGTCCTATCTGTTTTAACACGGACAGTTAAGTGTCACTTTGAAGAGACACTCTGAAGCCTTCACATTTAACTGGAACTTTAAAAAAAAAAAAAAACTTCAGAGACTTCACACTGGAGCTCGGAACTGGGAGAGAAGAAACCCAGCTTCTGCACTTGACCTCAGAGAGGAGAGGAGCATCCTTTCTGCAGACGACTTTGAGCAAACGAGGCACCTTTTCTGCAGACGTCTCGAGAGAGACGGGACGAAAACGATACAAAACCAGCACCTTCCCAGAGTGAACTGTGAGTAATCAATCCAGAACAGTTATCCATTATGCATAATCTACTCATATATATCACAGATTATTATTTTTATAATAAAATTCATAAAAATCAACTGCATTTGTGAATATTTTGGCATATCTGTGTGTATACATAGTTCCCACACACGTGACTGGTATTGCGCAACACCGGGTTTTCCACCATTTGTTGAGGCGCATGTGAAGAAGATGCTTACAGACAGACCAGAGCTCAGTATATTGATACTCTTGACCAAGGGCAAGATATAGGCATAAAATAGCTGCGGTCCCTATGAGGTGGAGAAAGAAATGATGTCAGATGAAACAGACAAGTTGTCACCGAGAAGTTACTTTGATATTGTTAATAATTAATGAACACGAGGAGTGCTACAACGGAGGAGCTTCGCAGGTTTAAATCCATGGATGCTTATAATTAATAACTGATTTAAAAAAAAAAAAAAACTGTCTCTTTTTCCGCTCCTAGGCAACACTCCCACGGTAGCTCAACTTGGACATAAAAGTAAATCTCACAACACTTAGTTAAATCTGACGTGTTTCTCTGTGTTCTGATTAAATCAACATAAAATTAGTTTTTGTTCTGAATGTGTTTATGAAGATTCTTTAGAATTAAATCAAAACAAAAGATGATAAACGCTTTGTGCTGGCAACACACTTTTAAATCAGTCCTTTTCATGAAATGTTTTATTTATTGCACTATCTAACACTAAAAGTGTATTTCATCAAGATAACCATATTTAAAAAGTATCTCATAATTATCAGTTCTGACGGTGAAAAAGGCATCAAAGAGATTGACAGAGTAAAATATTGCTTCATTAAGAATAATTAATGTTAATGTTCTTTTAAGCAATTTAAGAGATGCTACATATATAGCTTAAAATAAAATATAACCCAGGTGAGTTTTTATTACCAAGATTTTATTTTTGGGCACAAAATAGCACAACTGTGAAGTTAATTTTATTGTATCCTGATGCATGCTCAATAATCCAGGTAGAAAAATCTAAAAAAGTTAAATCTGGTCCTCTGGACATTCAAAAAAACAAAACAAAAAAATTGATCATGTGAGCAGCTGGTTTTGGTTGTCAGCAGCAAACTGGTTGATCCACTACGAGAAGGTGTTATTTATAAGACTGAGCTTAATTCAGCACCTCAGACTGAAGAAGTCTTTCGGATGAAAGACGAAACATTTCTACAATTTTTTTGTTTTGTTTTTTTTGAATGTCAAGAGGACCAGATTTAACTTTTTTAGATTAATTTTATTGTGTTATTAAGTTTGGCCTTGTTGCTGTTTAAGTGCTTTATAAATAATGTGGTGTGGTACGATATGGTGGTGTAGAATCAAATCAATATTATCTTTAGAAAATTAGTCAGAAGTCATTAAATCTTTTTCATCCATTTGTAAATATTGAACCAGAATGTCTGTTTTTACATTTCATGAGAAAAAAATGGGTTCCACATTCCTGCAAAAAATGTATTTTTAAATTAAAATACAGTACATATATTTTTTTACTTTAAATAACAAATTAACACATTAAACAGCATAAATTTATGTTTAAGTAATATTATTATTATCAGAGAATTGGCAAATAATAATAATACAGTACAGTCATCAAAACACTTTTTACTATTTCCGCCGGTGCTTTTTATTGATACACCACCGGAAGTGAACAGCGCCATCTGCGATATTACATAGTGCGATTTAAGGTAAATATTTTAGTTGTGTTGGAATCATTTGCTCTTGGTTAACTGAAGCCGCTCATATAATTTATAGAATTTTATGTTTTATTGTATTTTGAACATTTCTTCATATTTCAGTTTTCTTCAAGCTTTACGGTGAGACACAACCGGAAGTGCAGCAGGGGCTAGCAGCGTTAGCATAGTTAGCTGATCGTGTGTTTGTCGTGGTTTATTTGTGTGTGTGTGTGTGAGAGGTGAATGTTTGAGTGTGTGCAGCAACAATGTCTTCAGTTCAGTCTCTGAGAGAGTTTATCAGCGAGCGACTAACTGCTGCTGCTGAAGAAATATTCACAGAGTTTGAAAAAACCATCGTCCGGTACGAGGAAGAGATCGATCGTCAGCGCAGACTGCTGGACATCAGCTGGAAACCTCACACACACCTGCACACAACAGGTAGGAGCTGCAGCGGAGTGCATGTGGAAGTCTTTATTTATTTATGACACACTTGTGTTGAGGACCAGGGGCCGCTTGCTTGTGTTTGCCACACCTGTGTCACAACAACCGTTTCTTCTTCTGCTCCTAGACATTCCTTTTCGATTTGAGCGTAACGACACTCTGCTTCTGTCAACCACCTAGATGCATAAGCAACTGGTTTCCACAGCTCACCTTCAGCTTTCAGCAACATGTTGACATCTTGATTAATGTTGCCAGATCTCGCGATAGAAACAAGCAGCCAGCTCTATGAAAACAAGCCCAACTGGCAACCCACTGCATTGTGTAAAACAGGCCTTTTTTTCAAACATACATTTATTATGACATCACACATAACAGTAAAATTATGCTAAACACTTTGAATAACATACTTTTAAACTCGGATAAAAAATAAATAATTTAACAAATATGTAAATCATATCTTTTCTACGTATATTTAAAAACAAAACATCCTGATGTGCGCGTCAGCCACAGTACGAGTGTTTGGGTGCGCGCCTGTCGCCTCGCCAACTCTTGGGCGGAGCGGTAAACAGGAAACGGGAGCTTGGAAGGGACAAACTACCTACTACCTCTCGTCTTTTGCTTTATTTTGCAGAGCTGGGAGATAATCAACTAGTTACACTCGGAAAAGAAGTATTTTCCAAATAAGCAACTTCATGTTCAAAACAAGCCCAAAAACTGCAACCCGCTACTTACAAGATTTGCAAGCGAGTTTAGGATAAAAAAAAACAAGCTCAAAGTCAACAAAGTTCATGCTCAATCATCCAGGTATCAAATCCAATAATTCTCAGCCAGGTCTTCTGGAGAGTTTTTTTTTTTATAGAGACGTTTCGCCTTCTATCCAGAGGGCTTCATCAGTCTGAGGAGTTCCAGTAAACTGTTTTCCCACCAAGCAGTAAACTTCCTAATCTCAAAGTTGCTTATAATAAGCGGACTTGGCAGCACTGACCTTGACGTTCTTTGCTGGATCATAGAACATCAACACAGGTGCAGTTGTCAGTCAGTGCTCTTTTGAGGCTTTCCCATTCATGGTCATGTTTTTCTGTCCACTGAAACTCATTTTCTCTGTGCAGAACCTGTCGAATATTGGACGTTTTAGCTGCCAGATTGGGAATAAATTTGCCAATAAAGTTCACCATTCCCATGATGCGCTGTACTCCAGTTTTATCTTTGGGATTTGGCTTGTTGAGTATGGCATTTATTTTGGTAAATCTTCAACAAAATTTCAAAACCTGTGCAAATCTGCACAAAATCTCTTCTGAATTGTAATTTATAAACCAAAATAAATTGTATCATTTAGAACTGGCTCCAGGCGATGTGTCTCATCTCTTCAACCTGTTAAAAAGACAAATGACATTAAGTTTGTTGTACAACTTGTCTATAAGTTTTAGTATAATATGAGAAGAAACTTACCTTTGAGCTGCAGCGGCTGCATTAATCAGTGTCTCCCACTTTATTCTGTTTCATGGTGAAGTTGTGGCGCTGCTTTATTGTTAAAAAAGCTACATGAAGGAATAACATACGTTGGGTCCAGCGTATTAAAAATAAACCTGAACCCCTCACCTTCCACTGAGCTGTCTGCTCGTAAATCCTTTGTGATATAGCAGGAGATCGAGTGGGGGATCTTCACAGCTCCGGGGATCTAGCTGGAAGTTTTTTGCAGAGTTCGCTGGTCTGCTGCTTTTGCTTGTCGTCTTCCCTCCGCACATTTGTCGTATTTCCAAAATACAGTACCACATTTTTATTTTACACTTCTTGCAAACAACCGTGCTCTTGTCAAGCTCTGTCTTCCTCGGAACATTGTAGAATCCAAAATGTCTTTACGCTGAGTTTTAATGACGAAGGAGCGGGCTGAATCGCGCTGTCCTCCACTCCATGCTAGCGGTCTCATTCAGATAAAGGGAGCTGGCTAACTAGCTTGCTGTTCGGTGGCAAAAAGCAAGGCCAAATTCTACGGTGAAGGGTGGACACGTAACGCGTAAAGCTCGGGATTAGGAGTGGGAAAAAATAAAACATTTAAACGCATTTTAAAATAGATTATTGGGCTTTTAGAATCGATTCAGAATCGCCAGGACTAGGAATCTAGATTCTTTAATGAATACATTTTTTTCTGCACCCCTACTATTTTTATAAGAAACACAGTGATTCATTCAATGAAGCAGATTGGAGCAAGGAGTGGAAAGCAGAGGCCATTTTAAGTCACGGCACCCCCCAGAGTGCGGGAGTGGGATTCCTTTTTTCCAAGGCTTTCACTCCCAGCCACGTAGAAGTGCAACACATTGTTCAGGGAAGGTGTCTTCTGGTCAAAGCTAGGCCTGTCACAATAACAAATTTTGCTGGACGATTAATTGTCTCAGAATTTATTGTGATAAACGATAATATTGTTTGAAATTTAACAATAATTAGTAATTATTGTCAAATTTAAGAATAAATGTTGGTTAATTTGTTTTGCACGTAGTAACTTTTTTAACCACTGGATGGGAGTATAACACTGTTTGAACGGAAGGATGGATGGTGAAGGAGCGAGCAGCGTGTCTCTTTAAGAAAAATGAGAGGGAGGCCCCTTGACGTGACATGGGCTGTCTCTCCTTCCTGTTTTTCGGTTCTTAAAATGGCAGACGCTCCGTGTGGTTTGAGCTCTTTAGCATTTTTCACACAAAGCTTTTAATAAAAAATCAGTAAACAAGTTCTCAGCTTCTTTTTGCAGAGAAAATCAACTTTTTACACGAACGCACGGGTTTCAACCATGAATTTTGGAGCTTCGACAAGACGGAGGTTTCTTCCCTGAGGTCGGCCTGTTAGCTTAGCTCGTAGCTTAGCTTCTCAGCTTAGCTGCTTTTAATGATCCAAAAACACGATTTTAGATGTTAAAACATATTTTAAAGAGAAAAGAGAAAGGGAGGGGTCAATGAAGAACAAGAGTTGAGTCTTTTATCATCCAGTGTCTTCAGTAGAAAGAGACATGAAGAAACGATAAAGCCGATAAATGAAAACGAGGTCGATAATTTTCATTTATCATGCGATTAATTGATTTATTGTTTATTGCGACAGGCCTAGTCAAAGCTGGTTTTGAACATTTTAATGTGTTTTTTAATTAATATTTATGCCCCCAATGCTAATGCATAGGTCTTCTTCAACTTGGAGAGGAAACACGGGCAGAGAAAACTGATCCGCTCTTTGTTGTCGGACACCGGGCAGCAGCTGAGCGAGCCAAGCCAGATCAGGAGGAGGGCTGTGGAGTTTCACTCCTCGTTATTCAAAAGTGAATACGAAAGGAACCATGAGCTGTTCAGGAAGTTCTGCAGTGGACTACTCCAGGTCTCCGAAGAGACCAACGCCGACCTCGAGCGCCCCCTGGGGTTTCAGGAACTCAACATGGCCCTCCAGAGCATGCAAGGCCAGAAAGCTCCCAGCATCGACGGGCTAACGGTGGAGTTCTGTAAGTTCTACTGGGACATCTTGGCAGAAGACTTGCTGGATGTTTTCAATGAAAGCCTGATCACTGGTTTGCTCCCACTGTTGTGCTGCAGAGCGGTCATCACTCTCCTGTTCAAAAAAGGGAATCTGCAGGAGATGAAGAGTTGGTGCCCGGTGTCTCTTCTCTGTATCGACTACAAAATCCTCTCCAAGGCCCTGGCAACCAGGATGAGAGAAGCAAAGGAACAGGTCATCCACCAGGACTAGACTTATTGTGTCCCCAGAAGACCATGGTAGATAATATCTACCTGATTCGAGATGTTTTGGAAGTCTCCAGTTCATTGGGTCTGAACACAGCGTTGGTCTCACTTGACCAACGTGGCTTTTGACCACGTTGAGAACAGCTTCCTCTGGGAAACCATGGAGAGGTTTGGGTTCAGCGCTGGTTTTATAGCCAAGATCCAGGTGTTGCACAGTAACGTGCTGAAGGTCAATGGTAGCTTGTGCGCTCCTTTTATGTTGTGTAGAGACGTTCGGCAGGGCTGTGCACTCTCGGGAATGCTCTATGAGCTCTCCCTGGAACTCCTCCTTCATAAGATCCGTTCGAGTGTTCACGGTTTTGTTTTACCTGGTTTTAATAGTAATATAGTTTTATCCGCCTATGCTGACGACGACGTTGTTTTTATAAAAAATTTAAACCAACAAGATGTCGACACATTGAATGAGGTCACCGAGAGTTTTTCCACTCTGTCTGCTGCGAGGGTGAACTGGGGAAATAGCACAGCCTTTGCTGTGTGTGACTGGTTTGAAGGGCTCCCAGTTCCCCCTCATGGTTTTAAATACCTTGGTGTCTAGGGTATAAGAATTTAGTACAAAAAAACAAGGAAAATGTGGAACAGAAAGTCTAGAGTAAATTAGAAAAATGGAAATGGCTGCACTCTCAAATGTCCTACAGAGGCAGAGTACTAGTTTTAAAATCTAGTTGCATCACAACTTTGGCACAAACTACAGTATCTGTTTTAGACCCACCTCCAGGCCTGTTAGTAAAAATACAGTCTGAGATGTTAGTGTTTTTTGAACGCTCGACATTGGGTGCCACAGTCGGTCCTGTTCTTACCGAGAGAGGAGGGGGGACAGTCCACCTGGCCAGCAGAATGGCCACTTTTCGAATACAGTTCCTCCAGATGTACCTGGCAGGACCTCCTGACACTGTGTGGAGGGACGTGGCCAGCTGCATCCTCAGACGCGTGAGCGGGTTGGGGCTGGATGCTGCTCTGTTTCTAACCAATGTTGTCCTTTTAAAGTTAAAGGGGTTACCCCAGTTTTATCAGTGTTTTTAAAATATTTTTCCTTTTTTAAACCGAACAGATCAAAAACACACAATTCTTTGCATTGGCTTTTAGAAGAACCATTAATCTGTGGAGCAAGAATGGACGTCTGAGAGCACGTTGCCAGGTCTGCCAGGGGCGCTGTGTGGGTCTTCAACATTTTATGTCCACTGACATAATTTCTTTGTCTTTTGGTCCAGAACTCCCGCAGCATTTTGTCTGGAGACGTGAGGAGCTGGAAGTTCTCACTGAGCAGCAGCTCAGGAACCACAAGATGAACTCTGGATTGGACCATGAGGAACCACAACCTCCAGCAGAAGATCATCAACCACAGAAAACAGAAGACCAGGAGGAACCCAAACTTTTACAGCAGGAGGAACAGGAGGAGCCTGAACCTCTAGAGGAAGAACCAGACCTTCCAGAGATAAAAGAGGAACAGGAGGAACTCCGCATCAGTCTGAATGAAGAGCAGTTTGGTGTGAAGCTGGCAGATGAGACATTCATGGTGACTGTTGTCTGTGAGAAAAAAGTTCACTGGGAACCAGAATCAAACTGGGAACTACTCCTTCAGAACTCTCCTGAAGCTGAGAACCAAGATCAGGAGAAAAGCAGGACTGAAGATCCTGGATCCAGCAGAGAAGAGGAGCTGAAACAGAACGAGAGACGTCCTCAAACCAGAGAACATGGAGACGATGTGGACAGTCCACAACTTAAGAGACACAAAAAAAGTCACACAGGTGAGAAACTGCTCTCTTGTGAAATTTGTGGTAAATGTTTTTCTTGCAACAGTCAGTTGTCCTGATACTTGAGGGCCCACATTGGTGAGAAGTTTTTCTCATGTCGGAGTTGCTCAACAGAATTATTATCCATCCAATATCTTCATCTTGTTCTGGACTCGGGTCTTGGAGGCAGCAGCTTAACCAAAGAGGTTCAGATGTCTGTTTCCACACCCACCTGTTCCAGGAGGACTTAAAGGAGTCCTCTTCCTCTTACCATAGGTGAGGGTAGGAACGTAGACAAATAGCTTTGCTTTGCAGCTCAGCTCCCTCTTCACAACAACAGACCAGAACAGAGACCACAATACTAGAGTTGCTTCATCTGTTAGTCCCACGCTTCATTCTTCCCTCATTTCAAACACTTAACCAGTGTTTCATGGCTGGCACAGAATTCACACAATTTCTCCTGACATCCTGATGCATGCTCAATAATCCAGGTAGAAAAATCTAAAAAAGTTAAATCAAGTCCTCTGGACATTCAAAAAAAAAAAAATCGTAGAAACGTTTCGTCCTTCATCTGAAAGACTTCCTCAGTCTGAGGTGCTGTATTCAGCTCAGTCTTATAAATAGCACCTTCTCAGAGTGGATCAACCACAATTTCTCCTGACGTTGAGGTTTGACCATTGACCAGACTTTCTTATCCAACATCCCTGAATTACTTGCTGGAGAGGCTAAGGAGTGTGATTCCTCTGTAGTTAGAGCACACCCTCTGGTCCCCCTTTGTGAAGAGATGAACCACCATCCCAGTCTGCCAATCCAGTGGCACTGTCCACTGATGTCCATGCAATGTTGCAAAGGCATGTCAACCAGGCCAGTCCAGCAACATCCAGAGTCTTGTCTTGAGGAACTAAGGGCTGTTCTTGTCCACCCTCGTAGCCTTTCATCCTCGCAACTACTACCTTGGGGACCTCAGCCCCTTTTGTGGAGACTGATCCTAAAATCCCTCAACTTAGATTCCTCCAAGGAAGACATGTTGATGGAATTGAGAAGGTTCGAGAAGCATTCCTTCCACCATCTGACAACGTCACTGACAGAGGTCAACAGCAGCCCACCTCCGCTATACACAGTGTTGGTAAAGTGCTGCTTTCCCTGTCTCAGCCGCCAAATGATTTGCCAGAATGTCCTCTGAGCAGATTGTGAGTCATCCATGGACCCAACAAACTCTCCTCACTTCTGAGTTTTTGCCTGAGCAACAGGCAGAGCTGCAGCCCACTTGACTCACTGATACTCCTCAACTGTCTCTAGAGAAGGGGTGCCCAATACATCAATTGCGATCTACCGGTCGAGGCAATTTGAGTAGATCACATGGCGAAATAGACGTCAGACTTTTTAAAAATGTCTTTTAATTTTTATTTTTTAAATTGATGTCAGCCTATCAATCCATCCTTACTATGCAGTTCATCAATTGATTGGCATACAGGGCAGCCAATCTGAGACCGGACCTTTACTGACACATATACCCCTTTTCCAACTCTAAATTGTCCCTAGGTGTGAGTGAGAGTGCATGGTTGTTTGTCTCTATGTGGCCCTGTGATGGACTTGCGACCTGTCCAGGGTGTACCCCGCCCCTCGCACAGTGATTGCTGGACATGGGCACCAGTGACCCCCGTGACCCAAAATGGAATAAACAGGTAAAGATAATGGATGGATGGATGGATGGATACCCCATTTCCATAGCTCCTCTTCAGCACGACTCGGCTCGGTACGGTTCCAAGGCTTTTCCACTAGCAAATTTTCATGGAACCAGCCCCTTTTCAGGACCCATTCCTCTTGGGGTACCAAACGAGCCGAGCCGACACCAAAACGTGACGTCAGAATGCTGTCGGTTACTGATTGCTTGGGGGGTGGAGTCACTGGATTTTTGTGAAACTTTTCAAAACACTGATCGACCATTTGCAATTACTCGAGTTGAGCTCTGAGCAGTGGCTGGACCTATTTTAAATATTTTTAAAACAATAATGACAACACCGTGGTCTAATGCTGAAGTGCAGGTGTCTTTTGTGCTTGGTGGCCGACGACAAAATTCAGAGAGAGCTAGATGGAGCTCTGCCGGTCCTCTCCACCGGAGCCTCGGAGCTCCCTCAGGCCGGGCAGGGCGTCATCTCCCCGGCTCCGAGCTCCGCCAGCCACTGCAGAAGATTCTCCATGCTGCTGACCTGGGGCTCGGGCTCTGGGCCAGCCTTGCGGACTCTGCGGACTCCAAGCTCTGCTGGTCACCGCGGAAGATCAGAAGAGCTGCTGACTTGCAGAAGGCTGGGGTCCGGGCCCCGGCCTCGAGTGATCATGAAGGCTGGGCCCAACCCGGCAGATGGGCGGACTGGACGGGTCTGGGATGGAGGGTGGAAACGATTTTTAAATATATTTTATGTATAAAATAATGTATTTTTTATCAGTGAAGATTAAAAAATAAATGGTGCCAGTTTTATCATGAACTCGTGCTTTCACTTTAATGACTTTATTAAATAATCTGTTAAAGTTAACTCAGGTGAATAATCATAAAATGGGGGCCGAGATGGTGTAGAGGCAGGGCAGCCGGCTTGGGACCCGAAAGTCCCAGGTTCGATCCCCAGTCACTGCACATCACGTGGCGTCTCTGGGCAGCACGTCTCATCCCCAAAATGTCCCCCGGGCGCTTTCAATAGCTGCCCACTGCACCACCTGGTGGTGGATGGGTTAAATGCAGAGACTAATTTCGCCATTGTATGGAAACATACAGTGCTGACATTGTGATGACATTATTATTATTATTATAAAGACACAAAATTATTAGATCTCAGGAATATTTCCCTCAAATATGTTTAAACAAGAGATACAGCCTTTAGTTTAACTTTATTCTAACCCACAGATGTACAAATCACAAAACAAGAATTAAACTTTAAATCAAAGCTAAAATGAAATAATCTGTATACAAGAAACGATAAACAAATTTTTAAATTGAACAATAAAAGTAGGAACAATGAGTGCAAATACATCAAATGAAGAAGAAAACCTATAAAATTTTAAATATATATGTTTTTGTAGAATCTGGTTAATCAGAGATTTAATGTTGAACTAAAGTTCATTAGAAGTTCATTAGCAGGATTTATATATATTGTTTAATTTGATCATTTTAATAATCTGTATTCTTTTTAACAGAATCTTCAAAATAAATTCTCACCCTGTGTATGAAACCTGTTTAAAGTTTAAGTCATGATTATGAGCTAACAAAAAGCCACAGACTGAGCAGAATGTTCAACAAAGCTTCGAGATCCTCCATTTTTGCTGTGTATCTTTTCAGGGTCTTCTTCTTAATACGTTTATTGGTGGCTAGTAAAGGAGTACTACCGCCACCAGCTGGTAAGACGAGTTGGATTCTGGACACGCCCACAGAACCAGTCCTGAAGTGCATATGGAAAAGCAACATGGACCCCGGACTTCAACCGGTCGGCAGCTCGTTTGATTTCCAGAGTGACTAGCTCGCTCTGAATTTGGTCGTTGGCCACCAAGCACAAAAATCGCCTGCACTTCAGCATTAGACCACGGTGTTGTCATTATTGTTTTAAAATCTTAAAAATAGATACAGCCGCTGCTCCGAGCTTGAGTAATTGCAAATGGCAGATCGGGTGTTTTGAAAAGTTTTTCAAAGATCCAGTGACTCCGCCCCCTGACCAATTAGTGACCGACAGTGTTCTGACGTCATGTTTTGATGCCAGTTCAGCACGCTTGGTACCCCAGAGAAATGGGTCCTGAAAAAGGGGCATCATTATGACATCTATAGAACCAATCTAAAAAGCACACAGTATGTAAATATTTTAATTGTTAAAAACAAATCTCTTAGAACCATATTTGTCTACATCAGAAAACGGGCAGCTGTAGTGCCGTGGTCGAGCAGCTGACTTGGGACCTGAAAGATGCAGGTTCAATTCCCTATAGTGCCCACATGTTGTTGTGTACTTGAACAAGACACCTATTCTCAGGTGCTTATGTGTCGAGTCTAATGTAGAGCACAAATTTTGTCATTCAATGGGAATAATGACTTTACATAGATAGAACTTTAACTTTCAAACCATGAAAAGAACCCAAAGAACATAAAAAAATGAAAAGGAGGCTGCAATAATTGATGAGTTTGGTAAGTGACTAATTAATATTTTCCGTCACCATCTGTAAGGCCTTCTGGCACCAAAACATGATGGACTAAAACATCCATCTTACAACTTCTCTACCGACCTTCTTAAAGTGTCTGCTCAGATAAATATGAACTAAATCGGTTTTTGACTAAATAAATAATTCAGAATCTTCATGTCCATGATGTGTCTAAAAGGGAAAAAAAGTACTGGAGACGTGCTACTTCCACTAAAAACAGTTCCTCTCTTTTTTTTTTTTTTTTAGAACTTATGCAGAATTACACCTGGATAGAAGAGGAGGTTCTCATTGAGTCGCAGATCAAGAACCAGGAGAGGAACTTTGGTTTGGACCAGGAGGATCCACAACCTCCAGCAGGAGATGGACAACCTCGGAAAAGTGAAAACAAGGAGGCACCACTTGTAAAGATTAAAGAGGACCTGGAGGAACCAGCACTTCCACAGACGAAAGAAGAACAGGAGGAACCAGAACCTCCCCAAATGAAAAAGGAAAAGGAGGAACCAGAACCTCCACAAACAAAAGGGGAACAGGAGGAACCAGAACCTCCACAGATGAAAGAGGAACAGAAGGAACCAGAACCTCTACAAATGAAAGGGCAACTGGAGGTACCAGAACCTCCACAGATGAAAGAGGAACAGGAGGAACTCTGTTTCACTCAGGATGAGGAGCATCAAGTTTTGAAGCTGGAGGATGAGACCGTCATGGTGACAGTTGACTTTGACGAAAGAGTCCACTGTGGATCAGAACCAAACTTGGACCACCTTCCTTCACAGAACTTTCCTCATACTGAGAACCAAGACCAGGAAGATGCAGGAACATCTGTAGACGGAGACCTGAACCTCAAGAACCGACCTGACAGAAGCCAAAGTAGTGATGTGAAAAACTTTTCTGGAAATCTGTTCAATTCTGAGGCTGAAAGGAAACCTGTAAAATGTGATGTTTGTGGAAAAGGCTTTAGGGATAATCATCAAATGAAGGAGCATAGAAGAATCCACACTGGTGAGAAGCCCTTTACATGTCAAACATGTGGGAAATGTTTTTCTTTTAAAAGTCGTTTAACGACTCATACAAGGACCCACACTGGTGAAAAGCCCCATATGTGTGAAACTTGTGGAAAAAGTTTCTCCTCAAAAAGTCACTTAACGAGTCATACAAGGACCCACACTGGTGAGAAGCCCTTTATTTGTGAAACATGTGGAAAAACATTCAGCGAGCGTAAAAATCTAGTGATTCACTTAAGAGTTCACACTGGTGAGAAGCCTTTTTCTTGTAAAACCTGTGGCAAAGGCTTTTCTGGCAATTCTCTTTTAAAAGCTCATGCAAGAACTCACACCAGTGAGAAGCCCTATTCATGCAAAACATGTGGTAAATGTTTTGCTGAACGTGGTCGAATAGTGGTCCACATGAGAAGTCACACTGGTGAGAAGCCATACATGTGCAAAGTATGTGGTAAACGTGTAACTCGACATAAAACTTTAGCAGGTCACATGAGACTTCACACTGGTGAGAAGCCCTTTTTGTGTAAAATATGTGGCAAATGCTTCACTCTAAGGAGAAGTCTGAACATTCACATGAAAACACACACTGGTGAGAAGGCCTTTTCCTGTAAATCCTGTGGCAAATGCTTCTTATTGAATTCTAATTTAACAGCCCATTTGAGAACTCACACTGGTGAGAAGCCCTTTTCCTGTGAGGTATGTGGCAAGTGCTACTCTCAGAAGAGCAATCTGATCAACCACACTAGAACTCATACTGGCGAGAAGCCCTTTTCCTGTGAGATATGTGGCAAGTGCTACTCTCAGAAAGGCAATCTGATCTACCACACTAGAACTCACACTGGTGAGAAGCCCTTTTCCTGTGAGATATGTGGCAAGTGCTACTCTCAGAAGAGCAGTCTGCTCAGCCACACTCGAACTCACACTAGTGAGAAGTCATTTTCCTGTGAGATATGTGGTAAAAGTTTCAGCCAAAAAATCATTTTGACTGATCACATGGAAACTCACAGGGGTGAGAAGCCCTGTACTTCCTCAAAATCTCTGCTAGAGCAACTACTTCTGAAACAGGAGGCCAATACCTTCATGGTGACTTCTGCTCATGAGGAACAAGACCATATTAAACCAAAATCAAACTGGGATGAAATCCTCCCTGAGATCCGAGACCAGTTAGGTTCAGGACCATTTAGAAACCGAGAACTAAGCCCAAAGTGTAGCCCTGACAGAAACCAAAGTGTTTTAGAGACACGATGTGAGGCCCAGATGGACGGAAAACTTGCTAAATGTGATATTTGTAGGAAAGGCTTCAGGAGTAAATATAGGATGGAGATTCATCGAAGAGTCCACACTGGTGAGAAGCCCTATGCCTGCACAACCTGCCAGAAAACGTACAAAAGTAGAGACTACTTGTTGAACCACATGAGAACTCACACTGGTGAGAGTCCCTACACCTGCAAAACATGTGGTAAATGTTTCTCCCAATCTAGTCATTTAACGTCTCACCTGAGGACTCACACTGGTGAGAAGCCCTTCTCCTGTAAAACCTGTGGCAAATGTTTCTCTGAAAATTATATTTTGGTACGACACATGAGGGCTCACTCACACTGCTGAGAAGCCTTTTTCTTGTGCAATATGTGGCAAGTGCTACTCTCAAAACAGCCGTCTGACCAACCACAAGAGGACTCACTTTGGTGAGAAGCCAGCATAAAACATAGTAGAAGTTTCCTTCATTCTGGTAATTTAACGACTCACCTGAAGACACACACTGGTGAGAAATCCTTATGTAAAACCTGCAGCAAATTTTTCTCTGAGAATTATATATTTTTTTGTACACATGAGAAATCATTCTGGTGAGAAGGCTTGTACATGTAAAACTTAGTAAAAGTTTCTTCCAGTCAAATCATTTAACATCTCGCATAAGGATTCACATCGATGAGAAGCCCTACACCTGCAAGGCATGTGGTACAAGTTTCTTCCAGTCAGGTCATGTAACATCTCACTAAGGATTCACACTGGTGAGAAGCCGTTCGCCTGTAAAACTTGTGGCAAATGTTTCCCTGGGAATTATCCTTTGGTCGGACACATGAGAACTCACACTGTTGAGAAGCCCTTTTCCTGTAAAATATGTGGGAAAAGTTGTGCTCAGAACAGCTATCTGACTGTCCACATGAAAAGACATTTAGGCCCTTTTCCAGTAAAACGTACGTTAGGAGTTCTTTTTCATCCCTACTTACCACCAGAGGATGGTGCTGAAAGCACTGAATGTTTCCTGCGTGCATAAGCCATTCAAGTAGTAATATCAAAAAGTCACAGCTGTTACCCGCCGGATGATCAATCGGAGGCTATATAGCCTGATGTCATCCGTGGCTCATCTCCTTTTTTCTTCTCACGTGCGGTTCATTTTACTACTGACCTTGGACCTTTTCATCGTTGGATGTCCTGTTGCCTGTTGGCAGGAGTTGCGGTGCACCGCCCTCTTACGGGCTGCAATGGATTATCTTTGGTCAAGTTATTCTGCTGGTTGTTGGGCAAAGACTGCGTTTTTACCTGCCTCTCGTGACTGCAGCGTTAGCTGTCTTGCCTTAGAACTGGTACGACAGTTTTTGCTTCCGTTTTTGTGTCCCATCGGTTACTCGGGTTATTACAAACTCGAGATGCAACAGGTGCAGCTCCACGGGATGGGGCGCTGTGTGACACACAGAGCACCAGCGTTGTTGGTCTGAGTTTTGGCCTTGTTTTGATTGTTGTTTTGATTGGTGATGGCAAGCGTTCACATCTCCTCTCCCAATTTGCCTTTTACCAGCTGAGCGAGCAGTGTTAGTCTGTCTTGAGTTTTGGCCTTGTTTCAATTGGTGATGGCAAGCGTTTGTGCCCCCTCACCCAATTTGCCTTTTTAACCAGCTGAGCTAGTGGCGTTAGCCTGTCTGAGTTTTGTCCTTGTTTTAATTGGTGACGGAGAGTGTGTGCATGCCCCTCTCCCAATTTTTCTTTAACCAGCTGAACCGGCAGTGTTAGTCTGGCTGGGTTCTGTCCCTTGTTTTAATTGGTGACGCAAGCATTCGCGCCTCCTTCTCCCAATTGTTTTAACCAACCTCATAAGCGGTGAGCCTGAGCTCGGAGTGTGCATTGGTCTAGTGGTGAGAGCTAGCCTCCGTCCGATTGGTTTTCTCCTAGTTTCACTGTGTTTTTTCGTCCTGTATTCTGGACATGGCTGACTGTGTCAGCCCCTTTTGTTGAGTTGCTGTTCTTTACTCTGGTTGGTGATGACAGCGTTTTGCCTCGTCTCCTGATTTCGGTCAGCCTCATAACCTGTTTGGATTGAGCTAATGGTGTCAGCCTCCCTAAGTTGCTCGTTTTGCTTAGTTGGTGATGGCAACGTTAGCACCCCCTCTCCCAACTTTTAGCCTGTTTTCATCTGTGATCTGGATGTAGCTGACCATATCAGCCTCCTGCTCTGCCATTTGCCTTAAATGGTGACAATAGCATTTCACCTCCTCTCCCAATTTTGACTAGTCTTTCTGATCAGAGTTGGGCTGCCTCACTTACTATTTTGCCTTAGTTGGTGATGGCAGCATTTTTGCTCTCTCCCAATTTTAGCTAACTTACTAATCAAAGTTCTGGGCTGAGCTAACTGGGTTAACCTCTCTCTTTTCCTTGTATTGTGCCCTAATTGGTGATGGCAGCGTTTTCGCTCCCCTCTCCCAGTTTTACTAGTGCTTCTTCGTGTATTCTGGACATAGCTGATGATGTCATACCCCTTTGTTGATCTGCTATTCTTTACCTTGATTGGTGGCGGTAGTGTTCTCGCCCCTCTCCCAATCTTGGCCTGTTTCTCTGACTGCGGTTGAACCCGGTCCAGATTCAACATGGATGGCTCCCGATTGTGGGACCGCACTTCAGGCAGATGATGGTCACGACCTGTGCCCTTCCTGTCTTGGGCATGATCACCTGGTGGAGGCTCTGCCGGAGCCCCTGCATGAACTGCAGTTACATGCCCCATGCCCTAAGGGTGGCTCAGCTGGCTGAGTTGCACCCTGAGCTTGGCAACGACCTTCTGCCCTCTGGGCAGGCTTGGGCGCTCAAAGCGCTGGAATGAAGCCACAGTCTCTGTGGTTCCTCCTAAAGAGAAGCGAGCTAAGTCCAATCAGGGCCTCTGCACAAGGGTTGAGCAGTTGTCCGCAGACCTGTCAGAAATTAAATTCTTATTTCAGGCATGCCAGCTCTGAGGCAGCAGCAGCTGAAAGTCCTGCAAATGGCAGAGTCCACCCCCGGAAGTGCCTTTTTCAGGATGGGCTCCTACTCCCTTCTCTGTATCTCCATCAGAGAAGTATTGGAAGGAGTTGTATTATTGTTGGCGGGACCTTGGAACCTTTTCATGCCTCCCCACAATTGTCGGGTGTTGGCAGCTGTTCATGAGTTGGCCAAGGCAGGCCTGGTACATATGCCGGCTGTTTAACCCACTGCTGCCTTGCACGTTGTGTCACCGGAGGACGCCCTGCGCCCTGATATTTGGTGCACGCAGGCTCAATGTCGCATTACAGATGACTTCCTATGTAAAGCTTATAATGCCGGAGCACATGCTGGCCACCTTGGTAATTCCTTGGCGTACGTCATGTTTGTCCTCTCTGCGTCCCTTCAGGACACTAGCGGTGCAACAACAGCAATGGGCTTAGCGATGCAGCGCTTCAGCGCTTTGATGACCAAAGAACTTTGGTGTAATGCCCTTTTAGTTCAGACCCATCGACAGGTCTGGCTGGTGCGGTCGACATTGACTGAACCATGTCGCAGGACCCGCCTTAGTGTTCAGGGTGGTACCAGGGGAGTTGCTCGGTTCAGCTGCATTAGAAGCACTGGAACGGACTGTCCAGGCATGGCGAAATATGCATCAGTTTTCAGGCTTCAGTAGGGAAATGCCCCTTCCACCTCCTCAGCATCCATGGCACCCTTCGGCTGGCTCTTGCATTTGGCCACCACCTCGGGTTCTGATTGGCCAGGCAAGTTATTTCCTCATGACCTACAGCGGAGACCCAGCAGAGACCTTCATGGGTCAGTCCACCAACAAGCCAGGCAAGTTCAGACCATGAACTCTGCCCCCCTCACCATGTTGGCCAGCACAACCATCGTTCCACTGCTATGGAGTCTGTCACGGCTTCTCATGGCATCTTCTGACCAGGAGGGACTTACTATCTCAGTTGGATGGACTGATATGGCATGCCAGTCCTCAACATCTCCGGCTGTGGGTGTGGCCAATGGAGAGCTTGGACAACAGCTGACCAGAATTCCGGATCCCGTCAGATGCACCATCTTGGGTGCCGGGCACCCTCTACTCATCAGCAATATGAAAACAGGTGGCGCCTGTTTTCCCAGTGGTGTTTTGCCCGCATTGATAATCCAGTCTTTTGTACAGTATCTACCATTCTGGAGTTCTCCAGTATCTTCTTGATAAGGGCCACTCTCCTTTAACCCTTAAGGTATAAGTAGCAGCGATATAATCTACTCATGCCGGCATAGATGGCTGTACAGTAGGGAGCCATAGCCTAGTTGCTCTTTAGGTGTGGCACTCGCTGGTTGCACCCGCTGGTTGCACCCGCCTACGGCTCCATGAGCATCAGTGGAGATTTGCCCTTGGCTCTCAAAACTCTCTGCCATCCTCTCGAGCTTTGCCAAAGGCAGACCTCAAGTGGCTTGTGAAAGATGGCCTTTTTGTTAATGTTTGTCTTGGCTAGAGGGTTGGCGAACTACACGCTCTTCTATCAGCCCTTCATGCCTCAGATGGGACCCTGATGGCTCTGGTGTTGCCTTGTGGCCAAACACTGCATTCATACCTACGGTGTCATCTCATTCTCATTGTAACCAGCCATTGAGGGTGGCACGTTCTCAGCCTATGCCAGAAGGGTCTGTCAATGAGTCTGAGTTATTGTGACCAGTGAGGGCACTGGAGGCATACATTGCAACTATTGCCGCTGTAAGACATTCCGACCAGCAGTTCTTGTGGTACAGAGGCCCTAGGTTGGCTTGTCCTCCTTACAAGCAACGTCTCTCCCACTGGATTGCGGATGTCATTGTCACGCCTACAGACGCAGCTCACCGTTGGTCGGTGTAAGGGCACACTCTACCAGGAGCAGCTCTGCTTCCTGGGCAGCCTTGAGAGGGGTTTCACTGGAAGCGATATGTGCTTCTGCATCATGTTCTGCAATGTCAACATGGCTGCCTCTCATCCTCTGGGCCAGGTCCTTCTGCAAGGGTTCCCTGGGCCTCCCAGTGAGGTATGTGCTCAGGATTCCTTGTGACATCGTTGATATTAGTCATTCAGTGCTTTCAGCACCGCCCTCTGGCGGTCAGCAGGGATGAAATAGAACGAAAGTTACATATGTAACTATGGTTCTATGAATCCCAGATGACCGCCAGAACTTCTCTGTCACTCAGAATCCTTGCATTCCGCGAGAAGATTCTGTAGGAGCAGAGCTGCGGATGATGTCAGGCCAGTTGATCATCCGGTGAGTCACAGCAGGGACTTTTTTTGATATTACTACTCAAACGGCGCATGCATGCAGGGAACATTCAGTGCTTTCAGCACCACATTCTGGCGGTTATCTGGGGTTCATAGAACCATAGTTAAATACGTAACGTTCGCTTTACTCCAAAGCGAAAGTTGAACTTCCACTTGAGACTACATGCAATAACAGAAAGTCAATAAATATTTCTTGACAAATGAACAAGCTCTCGTTCCACAACCCGCGCTGCTTCATTTTCTTTGTGTCCTTTTTTTTTGTCTGTTGCCTTTGACGTCTTTGGCTTCTTCCTCTTTTGTGTGTTCTTTCTGTTGTGTTGTTTTTGTCTTTAGTCTTCACTGTTGTCGTTTTTAGCTGCTTTTTTTTGCGTCTCCACATTGGAACATTTGCTTCTCCCTCTCTAGGCTCTCTTCCATCTGCCCCCCACTCCCTCTTCAGAAGCAGTATTAAATTATTTATTTATTTATTACCTTTTTAGTGTGAAATCAGAATGGTAACAACAACCATGATGTCTTTTTGCTGCTTTTTGTTTTAGTTTCCAATTGGGATCTTTTGCTTCTCCCTCTCCAGGCTCTCTTCCACCTGTTCCCTACTCTCAGAACCAGTATGTCTTGTAGATAAATAAGTTTTATTGACACATTTGAGCTGAAATTGGAGTGCTAATGATGACCTCTATGTGAAGTCTTAATCATAATGAATCATAGGGCAGGCGGTGCGGTGAGTTCTGCTTCCTGATACATTGAGTCTCTGTCAGAACCAAATCTTCATTTTAAAGTTAAAGATTGGTCTCACTGATCACCTCCACAGTCTACATTGAGATTCTTGACCTGCTTATTAAATCTTCACATTTTATTTCTTTTGACTGTATCCAGTCAGTAATAAATAAAATATATAATCATTGACGTGTGATTAAATGTTTTTTCACGTCTTGTAAAGTTGATTCTGTTTTTCTTGCGTAAAATTAATTTTATGTTTTCTCATTATGACTTTCTGTTCAATTCCTGGTCCGGGGGCCTTTCTGGGTGGAGTTTGCATGTTTTCTCTGTGCTGCATGGGTTTTCTCTGGGTACTCCAGTTTCCTCCCACAGACCAAAAACGTGCATGTTGGGCTGATTGGTAACTAAATTGTCCCTAGGTGTGAGTGAGAGAGTGAATGGTTGTTTTGTTTCCTTTGTCTCTGTGTGTCCCTGTGATGAACTGGAGACCTGTCCAGGGTGTCCCCTGCCTCTCGCACAGTGATTGCTGGACATGGGCACCGATGACCCAAAAAAGGAAGAAGAGGGTAAAGATGATGGATTGATGTTAATAGTAGGTAAATTGTTATTTTTTCATTCATTCAACCTTTATTTCTACAGGTTAGTCTCACTGAGCCTCGAGGGCTCATTTACAAGAGAGACCTGTTTTAAACAAAGGACACAGATGAAGTACAGATATCAGTAGACAATCATGTAAAAAGCATATAAAATCTAATGTAAATAAAAGAAATTATATAAAAACAAAAACAGCTACATTATAAAGCGATGTAAAATACTAAGAACAGGAACATGTCTGCATTGGTTTTTGCCATGAACAATTGTTTAAAATGCCTTAGAGTGGGATCCATTAGTTAGATCCGTGACTGTTAGCAGAAGCTCAGTGAGACACCCCCAGAAGTAAATATGGCGCTAGCTGCGTTAGCATTGTTAGCTTTCATTGAGTTGATTTAGATGATTTTTGAAATTATCTTACCAGAAGCTGCCTGGCTGAAAGAGGAGCAGGCAGAACGAGAAGCAGCTGGTTCTGAAGCTCGAGACTGACGCCTTCATGGTGACTCCTGCTTTTGAGCAGAGGCGCCACAGTGAACCAGAATCAAACTGGGACAAGCTCTTGCAGACTCACACTGGTGAGAAGCCCTTTTCCTGTCCAGTATGTGGCAAATGCTTCACCCAGAGAATCAACCTGACCGTCCATGAAGAGACACCAAGGGGACGTACCCATCCAATGGCAGCCTGCGAGACTGAAGACGTCATCAGACTGAGGGAGGACAGCTTGAAATCAGAATCTGATCAGAACCACAGGATCATCCGCAGGAAACAAACAGACCAGAACATCAACAGGACCAGAAGCTTCTGTTGGTTCTAAAGTAAACCGAACATCTGGAGGGGAAAAGTTCTAAATGTGGTTTGTGTTGAAGGAGGTCTTTAAATATAACATGGCTCTGTTTATATAAAGTGTTGTTTTATAACTGACTGATCAGGTTTGATTTTAATGTTCCTGAGAAGTTAAATCTGATGTGTTTCTCAGTTCTGATTAAATCAACCTAAAAGTTAGTTTTTGTTCTGAACGTGTTTGTTTATGAAGATTTGTTAGTTTTAAATCAAAACAAAAGAGGAAAAGCACTTTGTGTTGGCAACACCTTCACTTTTAAATCAGTCCTTTTATGAAACGTTTCATTTATAACTGCACTGTCTAACAATAAAATGTATCTCATCAAGATAAACGTTCATATTTTAAACAGTATCTCGTAATTATTAGTTCTGACAGTGAAAAGGGCATCAAGGACGTTGACAAGTTCAAGTTTGTCATTCGCATCACGTGGTTGAACGGAATTATGTTCCCGAGGTCCCAGTTACTCCCAAAAATATAAAGTGAAAAAATAAATAGTATATATGGATGTGAGATATACGCTAAACCAACTCCAAATGGTACGCTCAAGCATCTAAAATATGCGATAAACACTTATAATGTAAAACAATAGCAGCCCGAACATGAGTTTGTGGTGAGCAGATGGGTATGAATGAATACAGCTGCATAGAGTAAAATATGATGGATTGAAATATTGTTTCATTTAAAATAATTATTGTTCTTTTACGTAATTTAATACATGCTACGTATGAAGCCTAATATAAAAGCAACTCTAGGAGAGTTTTTATTACCCAAATTATAATGTTGGACACAAAATGACACATCTGTGAAGATTGTGTACACTCAAATCAAAATTAAGTCATTAAATCTTTTTTTTTTCATTTGTAAATATTGAACCAGAATGGTTGTTTTTACATTTCATGATAAAAAATGATTTCCACCTTTCTGTCAAATACGTTCGTTGAATTATAAAATATACAGGTATAATTTACTTACGTCATCAAGACGCTTTTATTTTTTAATAAAAGTTTCAGTCGTACCGGAAGTAAACAGCGCTAGCTAGCTAGCTGTTAGTTTTTTTAGTTTTTGGTTAAGGTAAATATTTTAGTTGTGTTAGAATAATTGTTCTTGGTTAACTGAAGCCGCTTATATAATTTATAGAATTTTATGTTTTACTTATTGTATTTCGAAATTTTCTTCATATTTCAGTTTTCGTCCAGATTTACGGTGAGACGTCCCACACACCGGAAGTCAACAAGGCGCTAGCAGCGTTAGCATCGTTAGCTCTGTGTGTGTGTGAGAGGTGAATGTGTTGAGTGTGTGCAGCAACAATGTCTTCAGTTCAGTCTCTGAGAGAGTTTATCAGCGAGCGACTAACTGCTGCTGCTGAAGAAATATTCACAGAGTTTGAAAAAACCATCGTCCGGTACGAGGAAGAGATCGATCGTCAGCGCAGACTGCTGGACATCAGCTGGAAACCTCACACACACCTGCACACAACAGGTAGGAGCAGCAGCGGAGTGCATGTGGAAGTCTTTATTTATTTATGACACATTGAGGTGAAATCAGCCGGTAAAGATAAATCTGCCTCAGTACAGAGTCCCTTCCTCCACAGCTGGGTGGCAGCCATTTTGAGGGACTGCCACATGTAAACTGGGTTGTGAACACCTCAGGTTCCGTATCTCGGTGAGTTTAAGGCTGTTTTTTTTTTTTTTTTTAAGGCTATTTTTAGGCAGTTGACAGACATCCAGTCCGGACCCAGTGGGTGTTCTGCTGTTTGACCCGGTTCTGGCAGTCAGACCTCCTGTGTTCGAAACACTTGGGGACCCTCAACAAATAACATGAACAAGAATAAATGCCTTGTCACGTGATCAGGGCACAGAAATAATGTTAAATTAGACACATTCAGTTGTATCATATTTTAAAATATTTACTAGTTTGTTTGTTTGTTTTTTTTTCCAGATATTTTTGCAAAATATTTTTTAACATCTAAGACATTTGCCCTTATGATCAAAATTTAATGCTAAAACTTGCCACACCTGACATTTATTTCATTTAATGCATTTCTTTTCCTCCTTGCCATCTATCGGTTGTTTGGCCAGCATACATCGTCAGACCACCATACGCGTAGCGCAAACTGACGGCTGTGTCTATTCGCGATGAGGTCACCATATGTTTCTATTTAATTAGCCATATCACACCATGCTGACGCAGTTAAGCTGTCAGATCATCATATACTTTGTTATTAACAGCTGTATGACATCCTGAGTTAACAGTTAACCTGTCGCATAATTGCACACTTTGTTATTAACACCTTCATTTTCATTTCATCAGCACACAAGTTTTATTAAAAAAATGGAAAAGGCAGGATACAGCAAGACATTGTTAACACAGGAATAACAATATAATAAACTTTATTTATATAGCACCTTCCAGCAACAACACCTTAACTGTCCAAAGATAATACTAATAAAAACGTTGGTTACGTACTGTAACCCCAGATTCTATGAATATAGGCGTAGCCCTTTAAGGCTGTCGCTGATGGGTTTATCCCGTTATGCAGAGCATAAGCACTGAAAAAAATTAGTCCACGCCCACCTGCTGTGTGGGCCCCACCCGGTCCGTATAAATTACGTTAAGAGCGGGAAATCGGCTCCCAAAATAGCTTTTTTCTTCAGCCATTTAGGAGCCAGTGAGGCCCGACGCTTAAAGGGCTACGCCTATATTCATAGAATCTGGGGTTACAGTACGTAACCAACGTTCTATGTCATATAGGCTTCGCCCTTTAAGGCTGTCGCTGATGGGTTAAGGGCGAAGCGGATGTGGTCCTCGCCTCACTGGGTCCATTCGAACACAGTAAGAAGCGGAAGCTTGCCCAAAAAACGTCTTGTCACCCAGCTCCCCGTGTGCATAAACTACGCATCGCGTAATTATGTGCCATGCACAGACGCATGTTGTGTAACTATGCGTTCTGACAAGCATGAATACCCCGGAAAAAACTTTCAACGGGAAGAGGAAGTTGAAAAGAGGGGGGGAGGGGGGCATGAACCAACTGGTTCATGGCTGAACAGTATAAACAGATTAATGTCCATGAATTGATAAATAATCAAATGAACTGATTGGTAACAATAATCATGAACTGATTAGTGACAATAGAACCAGAAACACAGACACGACTGTGACTGATAACAACATCTCACACTGTAATGCATGCAGACAGAAGTGAGCTTAAACAGAGTTCCATGAGAACAACAATATTCATTCTGTTAGGGCACTAAGGACAGAATGTGTCATGGAACGAGCCGTTACATCACGTAGGTAAAAGCGAATAAATGAGCAGGGTGTTGACCATGCAGCCGCAGTGCAAATGTCCTGCATTGACATACCATTATGCAGAGCAGTCGAAGATGCGATACCCCTGGTCGAGTGTGCTTAGAGGTTGACAGGAGGCCCTAAATCTGATGCTCTGTAGGCTTCAGAAAAGGCCTCACACAGCCAGTGTGACAAGCGCTGGATGGATAACGGCGACCTGCAGAAGCATCTCTATAATGCACAAACAATTGTTGAATTTGAACACATTGCAGCTGTGCGCGTTACGTAACACGTCAACGCCTGCACCGGGCAGAGAAGATGAACAGATGCTTCCCCTTCTGATCTGTGGGAGGGAAAAAAACCCTCCAACGATATCACTCTTGATTTAAAAGAGCTCGTGATGTTTTAGGCATAAAAGCTGGGTTGGTCTGAAATCAGCTGAGCTGCCCGTCAGCCTAATTCTAAGGCATGACGAAGCAACAGAGAGGGCAGATAAATACTTACCCTCTTAGCGGGTGTTAAAACCAGCAACAGGGCTGTTAAAAGAGACAAGAATTTAAATGAAACCTGATCCAGAGGCTCAATTGAAGCTTTGATCAGGGCTCGCAGGACCAGCGTTAAACCCACTGTGGAACAAGTGGGCGTGAAACAGGCCTACATCTCTGTACACCTTTTAGAAACCGCTTCATCAGCGAGTGATAAAAGCTGTTCTGTCTCCAAACCCTTTGTGGCAGGAAGAGATGGCTGCAATCGTACGTTAAAGCGTACTGAAAGCCAACTCCCTATCCATCAGCTGTTGTAGAAAAACAACACGCCGCCTAAAAGGCATGAAGTGGTCTCTAAACCTTCTCTGTACACCAGCGCTGAAAAGCCGTCCCCTTGATGTGTACAGAACTGTGGTAGATGCAGCACGTGAATCTTGAATTGTGCACACTATCTCCTGAGGGAGACCCATCCTCTAAGTGGAACCGCTCAGCGGTCAGACCCACCGGTGTTGACCTATTTCTGGGTAACTCTTGGTCGCTCCTCCTGTCTGAAGGAGAGCATCCTTCCTCCATGACAGTTCCACGGCGACCCAACAACAGACGTTGCAGGCCTGGGAACCATAGTGCGTTCACACGCCGGGAGCCACCAGGAGAGCTGTCAATCCCTCCTCTTGAACTCGGTTCATGGACCGTAAAAAACAGAGGAGGTGGGGGAAAAGAAACGCGTAAAAAGCGTTTTGGGCCACCGACTGTGAGCAAATGCGTCCCCCCCCAGCGATGGATCGTCTCGCGGGCTCAGGGAAAACCGTAGTTGACATTGAGCGTTCTTCTCGCATCGCAAACAGGTCCACAGCTGCTTTGCCAACTTCTGCTGCGTCTGAAAACATCAGATCCGGATGGAGGATCCGGTCCACGTAACGTGGGCCGCCCTTGGACGTCACATCAGCCCCTCTGTTCAGAACACCGGATATGTAAACCGCTCTAATAAAAGCAGGTTTTGATGAACCCAACTCAGTAGCTTTCGCACAATGTGTAACATCTGGGCTGAACGCACACCCTGATGGTTATGTACGCAGCAGTCATCATGATGTCTGTGTGAATCAACACGTGTTGATTCTGTAGCACAGGAGCAAGGTGTTGAATCACATTCAGTACTGTGCGACACTCCAAAAACATTGATGTGGGCTGATGTGTAGTGGGGCCACAGCGCCCCTACTGCTTGAGATAGGCATGTCCCCCCCCCAGCCTGACAGCAACGTGTCCGTGAAGACTGACCCATGACGTGGGTCTGCTGAGGGGGACTCCCTCTGATAGAAAAACAAGGTGTTTCCCCAGAGTCGGAGGTCTGCTTCCACAGAGGAAAAGACAATGATCATCCGTCGTTTGTTTTACTGGATCCACATGCAGACGTGCAAAAACACCTCTAGAGGCGTCTCATGTGATAAACGAGTTTTCATGGTGGTTGAATTTAATTCCACTCCAGAAAACAAATGTCTGGGCCGGGAAAATCGAGCTTCCTTCCACTTTATGGCGAAGCCCAGATTAACAGGTGTGATGTCAACACCTGATCCTGCATCAGCGCCTCCTGTCTGAAGTGACAGGATCCGCAGATCATCCAGGTAAAACAAAAAACTCTCGTCTCTGTGTTTTAGGATGATCGGTATGCGTTCTCTGGATGTTAAACAACAGATCCAAGAACGGTCTCACCCCTCCGATCCGTGAGTAAAACCCTCGTGTTTTCTCTCCCTTGGGGAACTCTGTAGATTACTTTTATCAGAAAACACTTGGATTTCTGCATTTAGGGAAGAGAATCAGTCTGATGATGACGGGACCGTTTATATAACTCCTCTGAATGGAGGGGTTCGGGTTGCAAACTGTAACTTGTACCATTTGCATAAACCCTGTCCATCCATCTGAAAAACGGCGAGCATGTTTTAGCCACTCTACGTAACGTTCGTGGATGAACGTGCGTTAATGATGCGTCATGTTTTGTACGGCTGTCAGCAGTCCGTCCCTCAACCGCCGTCATGCGTCGCGGGAATGTTTTCTGTGTGATCCCGGGCGAGACTTGAGCTGAAGGCGAAGCGTGTGACAGCTGATGACGCGGTGAGCTGCGCGTTTGACGTCGCTGTGCGAACGTTGAAAGGCGGAGGGCGTGACTTCATTTACACCGTGCTGTTGGAGTGAAGGCTGCTTAGCCCCGCGGGAGCACACGTTGTTCTCTGGAGGGACGCGCGCCGCTCTCGCTGGAGGGGCGCGCGCTGGAGGGAGGTGGGACTCATTACCGGGTTCTTCGGCTGCTTCACGTTTAAGCTGCGGTGAGCTGCCGAAAGCTGAGAGAGAAGGACCCCCACCCGGACCAGCCTGCGGACCATATTTATACCGATGTGAGCTGGTTAGCGCCGGCAGCTGTGTGCGCCAGCATCAACGCAGCACCGTTGGATGGAGGCTGTCATCTTAGTGTTCGACTCGTCATGTCAAGAGCGGCGGTGAATTAAAAACCCTATTTAAGGACACCGGCTCATGTGGAGGCTGTTCCATCCCACGAGTGCGAGTTGACACCGCTTGAGTGAGGATCATGCAGTTCTAGTTGGTAATGAGTTATTTTCGCTTACCGTTGTGCCGTGATCGACCCGTCATGTCTAGAGCGACGGTGAGTTTAAAAAACCTTTATTTAAGGACACCGGCTCATGTGGAGGCTGTTCT